TGTGGTTATAATTGCTTTTAAGATATCACCTGTTTTTGTGAACTTATTGCATGCACTTACATATATATACCAAATAAAACGGATTAATCCAATAAATTCATAAGATATTTATTCACAAATATATAAAGTAGAAATGTACTCAGAGACATGTCATTAAGTTAGCATGTTAGCTTCAGGTTCGTCTAGTATCAGGACAAGGATCATTAATGCCACATTTCACCTAGACACTAAGGCCAACTATAAGTATTAAAGTGTAAGTGTATACAGGGTGTAACAGTGTTGGGTAATCTGGTGCAGATATCCAGCTCTGAGGCGCAAGATAACGGAACCGGTTGTGACTGGCTGGTCTTCACTTCCATCACCGATGACTTAATAAAGACCTCAACTACTGAACAAAATGTTTATTTCGTCAATATTTCTCTGAACGCGGTGAGTTTACACCTTGAAATACGATTTATATTTTTTGAGCTAAAGTATAGAGACCCTGAGTTGTGGGTGCTGTAAATGCTTAAGGTTGCTTGATTAATGGGGTACAAGGCCTATTTAACACACGAGGATCAATAAGGCACCATGTCACTACCAGTCAAGAAGACTTTAATCCCTAAAATATGAATTAAACTAGTCATTTATACAGCTCACGGTTCTGATGGAACTTTTGAACATGTCCCTTGTTTTTAGAATCTACTCAGACAAGTTAAATGTATCCTTAATATTGTATATTGACCTTGAATGTTGTTAATAACCAATTCTAGACATCATATTCTATATTTCTATGTTATTTGTTAATAAAGTTAGCGTCTACTAAATACGGACTTAACTCTTCCACTCCATTATGTTGGTAAAATGCTTTATACTGCCTTTATAGCTCGTGGAAAGAGTTTAACCCATAGGGGTCATATACCACAAGGGCAAGAAGAGCTACTCGGGATCCAACGAAAGGGAAATTAGCTCTTATTCCATGAATCAAGAGCCCTTCACCAGCACGAAGGCTCTTGGCGTTGAAGCCAGAAGGGACTAAGTATTTATGTACATGAGACAGTAAGGTCACAGTTGGTGCTGCTGACACAACTTGTCACAGTTCTGCTGATAAAATAATTTTATTGTAAGCACCGTGGCTGAGTGCTTATAAATCAATACTAAACACTAAACCCACAAGGGTCATCCAGTGAGTGGCTACAGTGTCGGGCCTGCTACATACATGGACCACGAGGGTCATACAGTCAGTGTTACAGTGTCAGGCCTGCTACATACATGGACCACGAGGGTCATACAGTCAGTGTTACAGTGTCGGGCCTGCTACATACATGGACCACGAGGGTCATACAGTCAGTGTTACAGTGTCGGGCCTGCTACATACATGGACCACGGCTTAAGTAGTCAACAGAGTAAAGTCCGAGGCAGCTACGGTGAAAAGCTCTGTTCCACAAGGCACAGTACTCGCTCCCATCTTGTTCCTCATCCTCATATCCGACATAGACAAGGATGTCAGCCACAGCACCGTGTCTTCCTTTGCAGATGACACCCGAATCTGCATGACAGTGTCTTCCATTGCAGACACTGCAAGGCTCCAGGCGGACATCAACCAAATCTTTCAGTGGGCTGCAGAAAACAATATGAAGTTCAACGATGAGAAATTTCAATTACTCAGATATGGTAAACACGAGGAAATTAAATCTTCATCAGAGTACAAAACAAATTCTGGCCACAAAATAGAGCGAAACGCCAACGTCAAAGACCTGGGAGTGATCATGTCGGAGAATCTCACCTTCAAGGACCATAACATTGTATCAATCGCATCTGCTAGAAAAATGACAGGATGGATAATGAGAACCTTCAAAACTAGGGATGCCAAGCCCATGATGACACTCTTCAGGTCACTTGTTCTATCTAGGCTGGAATATTGCTGCACTCTAACAGCACCTTTCAAGGCAGGTGAAATTGCTGACCTAGAAAATGTATAGAGAACCTTCACGGCGCGCATAACGGAGATAAAACACCGTCAATTACTGGAGCGCTTGAGGTTCCTGAACCTGTATTCCTGGAACGCAGGCGGGAGAGATACATGATTACATACACCTGGAAAATTCTAGAGGGACTAGTACCGAACTTGCACACGAAAATCACTCACTACGAAAGCAAAAGACTTGGCAGACGATGCACCATCCCCCCAATGAAAAAGCAGGGGTGTCACTAGCACGTTAAGAGACCATACAATAAGTGTCAGGGGCCCGAGACTGTTCAACTGCCTCCCAGCATACATAAGGGGGATTACCAACAGACCCCTGGCAGTCTTCAAACTGGCACTGGACAAGCACCTAAAGTCGGTTCCTGACCAGCCGGGCTGTGGCTCGTACGTTGGTTTGCGTGCAGCCAGCAGCAACAGCCTGGTTGATCAGGCTCTGATCCACCAGGAGGCCTGATCACAGACCGGGCCGCGGGGGCGTTGACCCCCGGAACTCTCTTCAGGTAAACTCCAGGTAAGTCATCCTTTATTCTTCTGTTTGGTCATTGACAGTTATTCATTAATAATTTATCTTGTATTGATATGTGAATGTGCATTTAACTATGTAAGTTCTAATATTCATATCATTACCTTTCACAAAGAAATATATCATAATAACCATAGTAGTGCTGACAAATGTTTGAACATGTTGTAGGGGCTGAGGGAGAGAGCGTTGGAGGCCATCCAGATAGGTGAAGCCATAGCCAGGGCTAAAGTCACGTCTTCAAACACCACCAAGGTAAATGATTCTTGTAACACCTGTTGTGTGACACCTGTATGTGACCTCTGTTGTGTGACACCTGTTGTGTGACTCTTGTTTGTGACCTCTGTTGTGTGACACCTGTAGTGTAACGTCTGCTGCGTGACACCTGTAGTGTGACACCTGTTGTGTGACACCTGTAGTATGACACCTTTTGTGTAACACCTGTTGTGTGACACCTGTGAGTGACCTCTGTTGTGTGACACCTGTAGTGTAACACCTGCAGTGACACCTGTAGTGTAACACCTTTTGTGTAACACCTGTAGTTTGACAACTGTAGTGTGACACCTGTATGTGACCTCTGTGTGACACCTGTTGTGTGACTCTTGTTTGTGACCTCTGTTGTGTGACACCTGTGAGTGACCTCTGTTGTGTGACACCTGTAGTGTGACTCTTGTTTGTGACCTCTGTTGTGTGACACCTGTGAGTGACCTCTGTTGTGTGACACCTGTTGTGTGACTCTTGTTTGTGACCTCTGTTGTGTGACACCTGTAGTGTAACGTCTGCTGCGTGACACCTGTAGTGTGACACCTGTTGTGTGACACCTGTAATGTGACACCTTTTGTGTAACACCTGTTGTGTGACACCTGTGAGTGACCTCTGTTGTGTGACACCTGTAGTGTAACACCTGCAGTGACACCTGTAGCGTAACACCTGTAGTGTGACACCTGTAGTGTAACACCTGTAGTGTAACACCTGTTGTGTGACACCTGTATGTGACCTCTGTTGTGTGACACCTGTAGTGTAACACCTGTAGTGTGACACCTGCAGCGTAACACCTGTAGTGTGACACCTGTAGTGTAACACCTCTATATAATACAGATAAATAAAGAACTGTGTGTGACACCTGTTGTGTGACACCTGTAGTGTAACACCTGTAGTGTAACACCTGTAGTTTGACACCTGTAGTGTGACACCTGTAGTGTAACACCTGTAGTGTGACACCTGTATGTGACCTCTGTGTGACACCTGTTGTGTGACACCTGTAGTGTAACACCTGTAGTTTGACACCCGTAGTGTAACACCTGTAGTTTGACACCTGTAGTGTAACACCTGTAGTGTAACACCTGTAGTTTGACAGCTGTAGTGTGACACCTGTATGTGACCTCTGTGTGACACCTGTATGTGACCTCTGTGTGACACCTGTTGTGTGACTCTTGTTTGTGACCTCTGTTGTGTGACACCTGTAGTGTGACACCTGTAGTGTGACACCTGTTGTGTAACACCTCTATATACTATAGAGAAATAAATAAGTGTGTGTGATACCTGTTGCATGTAGTATATTGTGTGGATGCTGTCTAAATCAGTCATCCTCTGAAGAACTGAACAGTTGGTTTCTTTACTTAATGTTACTACACAATAAATTAATGTGATGTACGTCACTATACACTGATACACTAGACTGACTTTTTCTCCAGTCTGGTAATAAGTGAACATTCTAGCTTACACTCACTCACCCATTTGACCATAAACAGAAATATCAATCTCAATCTTAAAATAATGAATCCTAACTAGTCATAAGTTGGCCTGTGATACTCCAATACTGAAACTATGTACTGTGCCAAAACAAAAGCATTCACATTGCTAAACTCACAAACTAGTATTTAGTCACTTAGCCATAATACCAACTTACCTCATAATTTGTAATATTTTAAATTTAAGAATTATTCTAAGTCTGCCCGAAATGCCTAGCCATGCTATGTGTTCTAGTGGTACACTCTGTAATTATTATTTTACTACATGTAAACCACACAATAACCAAATTCTGTAAACTCAGCATTGTAATCCTTATAGAGAATAAACTTTGAATTGAATTGAATTGAATTTGAATTGAATTGAATATACTGCACACACTATTTGCTAGGCATCAATACACTGAAGGCTACACTTTTTCTAGTTTTGTTGAGGGTACTTCAACGAAGTGGTTGTCTACACACTTCTTGGTTTATATCCCCTGTGTTGACAACACTGCCAAGGTGTTAGTGTTAAAAACGGTGTTATTTGTTGTACAGGAGGTGAAGTTACCTTCCTTGAAGGTGTATATCAAGTCGCTGGACTACAGCACTACGCTGATACCACCAATAGTGCCTCCTGCCGCTAACTTCATATACCCTTTGGTCCCCGTATATTCCTGGACACCTACACCACTTACTAGAGGAGTAAAATGGAGGTGCACCTCCAGTATCGCTTTTAAAGGAGTTCTACAAGCCCTCTCCACCTATGATCAGTACCAGCTACATGGCGCCCATCTCTACGTGGCTACACTTAGGGTGAGTTTTGTTTCTATATCCTCATACCTTCTCTCAGTCTATGAATTCCATGTATTTGTGTACTTTCTAATATATTTATATAGTATAAACCTTGGTGAGTGATACCGATAAGTGGTTTAAACACATGTGAATAAACACCAAGATAAATATATATATTTATTAGAACACGTTTCGGTCCTGAGTCGTTGATCACCTCTAACATATTAGAATTGATCAAGGTCTCCAGACCGAAACGTTTTTTAATAAGTATGAATCCAGGTAGTGTTTTTCCTCATGCCCATACCTAACACAGATACTTATATCATAGTACTGTACCATCCTTCCTAGACCATACTAGAATTTGCATGAAAGTGTCATCCACTGAGGACAGACTTTCCAAGCAGATACAAACCAAATCTTCCAGTAGGCCTAAGAAAACAATATGATATTCAATGAGGACAAATTTCAGTTACTCCATTATGGAAACCCTGAGGAAATGAAAGCTAGAACGGAGTGTTAAGCAAACTCGAACCACACAGTAGAACGAAAACTAATGCGAAGGACTTTGGAGTGATAATGTCGAAGAATATCACCTTCAGTGTTATTAACACAACATTGAGGAAAATTATAGGATGGATAACGAGGGCCTTCAAAACAAGGAATACCATGACAATGATAATTCTCTTAAAGTCACCTGTTCTCTCTAGGCTGGAATAAATACTGGTGTACACTAGCAACCTCTTTTAAGGAAGGCTACATTGCAGATCTAGGGAATATACAGAGAATCTTCATTGCACATATAAGTTCAGTCAAGCACCTTAATTACTGAGAATGTTTGAAGTTCCTTGACCTATACTCCTTGGTATGCTGGCGAGAAAGATACATCATAATTTATACTTAGAAAATCATAGGAGGCAATGGCCCAAAAGCTATACACTGAAATCACTACCTAGGAAAACAAAAAGCTAGGCAGATGGTGCATTATACCACCTGTCATTGTTCTGCCACCACCTGTCTTTATATTCATGATACACAATAACAAGTTGGCGAATAAGACACATATACAACACTGAGTTTCTTTATTGTGGAGACGTTTCGCCCTCCTGGAGTTACCTGGACTTTTCTGTTGAATACAGAGATATTTTGTAGCAGTGAAAGATGAGAGGTAATTATTCCCTCAGCCTTAACAGAAAGTGTTCGGTATTTTAGCCTCGACCAGTCTAATTGATCAAGTAACATCAGTAAGACTGATCAATGCTGAGGGACTGATTACCCAATCTTCCACTGTTTCCAGTATTTAATCTTTATAATGAAATAAAGCCATTGGATGGCGAAACATCATAATAAAAATACCCGGATGTTGTATATGTGTCTTATTTGTCATCAGTCATTGTATTGTTCTGCCAACATCAGTCATTGTATGTTCTGCCAACATCAGTCATTGTACTGTTCTGCCAACATCTGTCATTGCACTGCTCTGCCAAAAGTAGTCATTGTACTGTTCTGCCAACATCAGTCATTATACTATTCTGCCAACATCAGTCATTATACTATTCTGCCAACATCAGTCATTATACTGTTCTGCCAACATCAGTCATTATACTGTTCTGCCAACATCAGTCATTATACTGTTCTGCCAACATTAGTCATTATACTGTTCTGCCAACATCAGTCATTATACTGTTCTGCCAACATCAGTCATTATACTGTTCTGCCAACATTAGTCATTATACTGTTCTGCCAACGTCATTATACTGTTCTGCCAACATCAGTCATTATACTGTTCTGCCAACATCTGTCATTATACTGTTCTGCCAACATAGTCATTGTACTGTTCTGCCAACATCAGTCATTATACTGTTCTGCCAACATCAGTCATTATACTATTCTGCCAACATCAGTCATTATACTGTTCTGCACATCAGTCATTGTACTGTTCTGCCAACATCAGTCATTATACTGTTCTGCCAACAGTTAATTGTACTGTTCTGCCAACATCAGTCATTATACTGTTCTGCCAACATCAGTCATTATACTATTCTGCCAACATAGTCATTATACTGTTCTGCCAAACGTCATTATACTGTTCTGCCAAATCAGTCATTATACTGTTCTGCCAACATTTAGTCATTATACTGTTCTGCCAACATCAGTCATTATACTGTTCTGCCAACATCAGTCATTATACTGTTCTGCCAACATTAGTCATTATACTGTTCTGCCAACGTCATTATACTGTTCTGCCAACATCAGTCATTGTACTGTTCTGCCAACATCAGTCATTATACTATTCTGCCAACATCAGTCATTATACTGTTCTGCCAACATCAGTCATTTACTGTTCTGCAACATCAGTCATTATACTATTCTGCCAACATCAGTCATTATACTGTTCTGCCAACATCAGTCATTATACTATTCTGCCAACATCAGTCATTATACTGTTCTGCCAACATCAGTCATTGTACTGTTCTGCCAACATCAGTCATTATACTATTCTGCCAACATCAGTCATTATACTGTTCTGCCAACATCAGTCGTTATACTGTTCTGCCAACATCAGTCATTATACTGTTCTGCCAACATCAGTCATTGTACTGTTCTGCCAACATCAGTCATTATACTGTTCTGCCAACATCAGTCATTATACTGTTCTGCCAACATCAGTCATTATACTGTTCTGCCAACATCAGTCATTATACTATTCTGCCAACATCAGTCATTATACTGTTCTGCCAACATCAGTCATTATACTGTTCTGCCAACATCAGTCATTATACTGTTCTGCCAACATCAGTCATTATACTGTTCTGCCAACATTAGTCATTATATTGTTCTGCCAACATCAGTCATTATACTGTTCTGCCAACATCAGTCATTATACTGTTCTGCCAACATCAGTCTTTAAATTTTTCTGCCAACTCATCATTTACTGTTCTGCCACATTAGTCATCTTTGTCCCCTTTATCACCACAATATATCACCCTTTGACTTTAACTTTTCCCCAGAACCTACTTTTTGGAAATTATTGACAGTTTATCACCCCTCCGTGGAGCGCTTTTTGGTTCACAACCCAACGCCCCGGATTCGATCTTGTGCGGAGGTAAATTTTTTAAAAAAACATCCCACACGGGGGGGATGAACTTGGGGCGATAGAGTTTTAAAAAACTCCAGCCAGCGCGTAAGCCAGAATTCGTCCCCCACCCTGGTATGGTTTGTTTCAATCTGCATTGCGATTTCGTGAGTCGTGATACGTATAATTTTCCTAAAAAGCAGTAAAAGGTACCTGAATGTTAACGGGTTTTGTGTCCCATCTCGGGACAGGATGTTCCAGAGAGGGGAAACCAGAAAAAGGGTCACAATTGGAAGTTAAAGACTCAGAGGGGCAACGGGAAGTATTTCTTTGCCCATAGATTTGTCAGGAAGTGGAATAGTCGGGCAGTGATGTATGGAGGCGGGAACCATTTAAATTTTTTAAAAAGAGGTAGAAAAGCTCAGGGAGGGGAGAGAAAGGACCTAGTATCGCCCAAATGAAGAGACGGAGCCAAAGCTGAGTCTCGACCCCCGTAACCAAAATTTTAGGTGATACATTGAAAAGTTGGTATTTTTACTGTTAAAACGTTTCGCCACACGTAGGCTTCTTCAGTCAAATAAGAGCAGCGGGTGTAGTATGAAATGCGATGTAACCAGTCCATTAACTCAAAAATTTTTACTCTTGCGCCAACCAGGACAAACTCTGTGCACATGGCTTATCATCAACTGTGGGTATTTTATAACATTTCAACGGGTATGTGACATGTCTCATTTTTTCCGTGTAAGGGGGGTTCTCTGTTCTCTTTTTTCCCGAGCGAGCCTTTCATCGAGCGTAGAGGGCCATGGACTCTTCCCAATGGTGATACACTTTAACAAATGATAATTATTTTTTACGCTTCACCATCTTTAAAAACAATTTTTGGGAGCATCACAATGACAATGAAAAAATTTAAAAATTTTTGGATACAATCATTTTTTTTTAGCACACAAGTGTTGTGTTTGTAAGTTTGTCGGAAACAAGTATTTCCTGACGCGGGTCTTAGTCAATGATGCCCCAAAATTTGGGAGCTTTTGGTATCTGAAACCCAGGGCCTTTCCACTGGCTTACCGGGCCACCCCCCCTTTAAAAAAATTTTGGTCATATTATAACCATTACGCTGTTTGAGGGTCGATCCATACCATCACCACCACCACAACCGCAAGCGCACCACACAAACCACCCCCACACCCAAGCCCACCATATTTACCACCCCCACAAACCGCAAGCACCACCCATTTCCACCAAAAACAACCGCAAACACACCCCATCACCACCACCACAACCCCAACCCACCACTATTACCACCACCACAAAACAAGCACACCACCCCCACCACACCACAAAACCCAACACACCACCCCACCACCACCACAACCCAAGCACACCACTACCACAAACCCCCACCCACCATCACCACCCCCACAACCCCAACACACCACCATCACCACCACCACAACCACAAGCACACCACCATCACCACCACCACAACCGCAAGCACACCACCATCACCACCACCACAACCACAAGCACATCACCATCACCACCACCACAACCGAAGCACACCACCATCACCACCACCACAACCACAAGCACATCACCATCACCACCACCACAACCACAAGCACACCACCATCACCACCACCACAACCGCAAGCCACCACCATCACCACCACCACAACCGCAAGCACACCACCATCACCACCACCACAACCACAAGCACACCACTATACCACCACCACAACCACAAGCACACCACCATCACCACCACCACAACCACAAGCACACCACCATCACCACCACCACAACCACAAGCACACCACCACCACAACCACAAGCACACCACCAATCACCACCACCACAACCACAAGCACACCACCATCACCACCACCACAACCACAAGCACACCACCATCACCACCACCATAACCACAAGCACACCACCATCACCACCACCACAACCACAAGCACACCACCATCACCACCACCACAACCACAAGCACACCACCATCACCACCACCACAACCGCAAGCACACCACCATCACCACACCACCACAACCACAAGCACATCACCACACTCACCACCACACACAACCGCAAGCACACCACCATCACCAAACCACCACCAACCACAAGCACCACCACCATCACCACCACCACAACCACAAGCACCACCACATTACCACCACCACAACCACAAGCACACCACATTACCACCACCACAACCACAAGCACACCACCATCATCACCACCACAACCACAAGCAACCACCACTATTACCACCACCACAACCACAAGCACACCACACTATTACCACCACCACAACCACAAGCACACCACCATCATCACCACCACAACCACAAGCACACCACCATCACACCACCACAACCACAAGCACCACCACTATTACCACCACCACACCACACCACACCACCACCACAACCACAAGCACCACCACTATTACCACCACCACAACCACAAGCACCACCACTATTACCACCACCACAACCACAAGCAACCACCACTATTACCACCACCACAACCACAAGCACCACCACTATTACCACTACCACAACCACAAGCACCACCACTATTACCACCACCACCACCACCATCACCACCACCATCACACCACCAAGCACCACCACCATCACCACCACCACAACACCACAAGCACCACCACCATCACCACCACCACAACCACAAGCACCACCACTATTACCACCACCACACCACCCACCACTATCACCACCACCACAACCACAAGCACCACCACCATCACCACCACCACAACCACAAGCACCACCACCATCACCACCACCACAACCACAAGCACCACCACTATTACCACCACCACAACCACCATCACCACCACCACAACCACAAGCACCACCACCACAACCACAAGCAACACCACCCCGTTCCTTTATTCGTCCCACCAACGACATCATTACATACTTCATCAATAACATTTTAACTGGTATGAAACATTATTTATCTACACTTGTGCTCCTCTACACTGCAGTGATCGATGTTTTGCCACTTATCGTCAAGAACACTCGGTAATTACTGGCGTACTGTGTTGCCCTGGGTTGAGAGGGCTGAAAGAGGGTGAGGGATGAAAAGAGAATGGGAAAATAAAGAGGGAGGGGGAAGGGTGGCTTGTGGCTCAAGTTGTAGTGACCTCGGCTCACAACTGAGGGATGGGTTCAATTCCGGCACGGGTGAAAACGTTGGACAATTTTTCTTATATCTGTTGCCCCTGTTTACCCAGCAGTAAGTAGATACCTGAGTGTTAGTTGAGATTTGTAGGCGACATCCCAGGGAGGGTGTTAGTATACCAAAGACAGGACCGAGCTTTGAAGTGAGCTCAGGTAGGATAACAGCTCGTAATTTGTAAATTCAGGTATGAAAAGGGGAATGTCTTATTGAGGTATGAGACAAGGAAGGAAGGGACAGAAATGAGGGCTTAAACAGAAAGGGGTGAACATACGATTGTGAGACGTAAGGAAAATATAGAAGAGAAAAAATAAACGATGGATGGGTGAAGGTGGAAGTAATGTGCACGAAAAGGAAGAGTAGAAAGAATGAGAGACGGATAGAAAGGAGGATATTGCGACAGAAGCACAGGTCATTGTGAAGGCGTTTGTATTATTCACTAAGGTCGTGTGCATAAGAAATGTGTACGAAGAGTAATGTAAAAGAGAGGAAAGGAAAATAGAGTGCTTAGCTTTGTATTAACCTGATAATTCTATTACAGACTGTAATTTAAGGATAATCAATGTACTTATTACGACGCCTTGACTACGACTGCTGGATGCGACACTCTTGAAAAATAAGACATGTGTAACACCTAGGTATGTTTATTGTTGAAACGTGTCGCTTCATCATTTACATACAGAGGAAAATGTGTTGCAAGCAGCAGGAGTAGTGGCGAAGTAAAGATGATGTTCTCAGTCCATCAACCTTGGAGAAATAGTTTGAGATGGTCAGTCCCTCAGCCTAGAGAAGAATGGAAGCAGTGTTTCTCGCGTTTCTTTTATGTTAATTAACATATATGTGTGCTGGGCGACTACTAAGTCTGTACAAGTGTTAATGTGAATATTACACGCGAATTCCTCCAATACAGGAAGGGAGACAACACCAGTGAAGCTTCACCAGCACCACCAGCAGCACCACCACCACCACCACCACCGCACGTCACCTGCACACAACCATGGGCCTTTCAGGGCTTCCTGGTTGATATGTTGAACGTTCTTAGCTCACAGATGAACTTCACGTGAGTAATACATTGTGCTGCGTTATCCTATTTCCTTCCACATTTGAAGTTAAAGTTTATATCCTGCAAAAAACCGAGAATCTCTGGTTTTTTCTAACTTATGGTCAGATAAGAATTTTCCAACCAGAACAATATATTTTAATTATTTAAATATTTAATAAGTTTGGTTTTCATTTTTACATGATAAAGATTAAAATATAAAAGACATAAATTTAATTATCCCAGATGGGAATTTTGATTTTATTTGTAGAAAGGTAACGATATATCCTAGTTACTTAGATGGTGAAGTCAGTGAAAAAGACATGTGACACCTGGATGTCAATTTTGAAGACGTTTCGCCATCCAGTGTGGTTTTCAATTTATTGCAGAGCACATAACCTGAAAAAAACTCAAGATTAGGTACTCTGTCCCTCAAATGGAAAGAGTAGAAGAGGTGGGAAATAGTTCGTCAAACTGTCAACAGCAGAAGAGAATCAGTCCCCAGCCCTGACAGTTGTTGTCTCGTGGCCTGGATCACTCTCAAGCAGAGGCAGGTTAGGTTAGGTAGATTCGTCAGGAAACAGGACAAGTGTTTCCTGACGTGGGTCTTAGTCATATGATGACCCGCCGCTGGAGCTTATGGTCATCTGACCGAGGCCTTCCACCGGCTTACCGGTCCACCCCTTTAAAAATTATGGTTATAGGACAATGAACGCTTATATAGTGGAGCCAGAAGAGAGGTGTAGCAGTTGAGGGTAGCTATCTAGTAATGCTTCCAGATAATACAAAATACTTAATATTAAATTGAAAGAAGTAATAGATGGTAAAACTTGAAAATGAAGATACCATAATAAACATATTAAACTAACTAACCAGGAGTTACACTGAGGTTATATCCAACTAGGGTATTTATCGCCAGTGTAAGTACTCAGTCACATTATAACTGAAGCTACCAACCACACCACCACAACCACATCACCAGTCACACCACAGTCACACTACCACAGTCACACTACCAGACACACCACAACCACACTACCACAGTCACACTACCACAGTCACACTACCTGTAACACCACAGCCACACTACCACAGTCACACTACCTGTAACACCACATCCACACTACCACAGTCACACTACCAGACACACCACAACCACACTACCACAGTCACACTACCACGTCACACTACCTGTAACACCACAGCCACACTACCACAGTCACACCTACCAGACACACCACAGTCCACTACCACAGTCACACTACCAGACACACCAAAACCACACTACCACAGTCACACTACCACAGTCACACTACCAGACACACCACAACCACACTACCACAGTCACACTACCACAGTCACACTACCTGTAACACCACAGCCACACTACCACAGTCACACTCCCAGACACACCACAACCACATACCACAGTCACACTACCAGATACACCACAACCACACTACCACAGTCACACTACCACAGTCACACTACCTGTAACACCACAGCCACACTACCACAGTCACACTACCAGACACACCACAACCACACTACCACAGTCACACTACACAGTCACACTACCTGTAACACCACAGCACGCTACTACGGTCACACTACCTGTAACACCACAGCCACACTACCACAGTCACACTACCAGACACACCACAGCCACACTACCACAGTCACACTACGAGTCACACCACAGTCACACTACCACAGTCACACTACCACAGTCACACTACCTGTAACACCACAGCCACACTACTACGGTCACACTACCTGTACACAACCAAGCCACACTACCACAGTCACACTACCAGACACACCACAGCCACACTACCACAGTCACACTACCAGACACACCACAGCCACACTACCACAGTCACTACCACAGTCACACTACGAGTCACACCACAGCCACCACTACTGCAGTCACACTACCAGAACACACCACAGCCCCACTACACAGTCACACTACCACAGTCACACTACCTGTAACACCACAGCCACACAAACCACGGTCACACTACCTGTAACACCACAGCCACACTACCACAGTCACACTACGAGTCACACCACAGCCCACGCTACCACAGTCACACTACTGAAACACCACAGCCACACTATCACGGTCACACTACCTGTACCACCACAGCCACACTACCACGGTCACACTACCTGTAACACCACAGCCACACTACCACAGTCACACTACGAGTAACACCACAGTCACACTACCTGTAACACCACAGCCACACTACCACAGTCACACTACCAGACACACCACAGTCACACTACCACAGTCACACTACCTGTAACACCACAACCACACTACTACGGTCACACTACCTGTAACACCACAGCCACACTACCACAGTCACACTATCAGACACACCACAGCCACACTACCACAGTCACACTACCAGACACACCACAGCCACACTACCACAGTCACTACCACAGTCACACTACCAGACACACCACAGCCACACTACCACAGTCACTACCACAGTCACACTACGAGTCACACCACAGCCACACTACTGCAGTCACACTACCAGACACACCACAGCCCCACTACCACAGTCACACTACCACAGTCACACTACCTGTAACACCACAGCCACACTACCACGGTCACACTACCTGTAACACCACAGCCACACTACCACAGTCACACTACGAGTCACACCACAGTCACGCTACCACAGTCACACTACCTGTAACACCACAGCCACACTATCACGGTCACACTACCTGTACCACCACAGCCACACTACCACGGTCACACTACCTGTAACACCACAGCCACACTACCACAGTCACACTACGAGTAACACCACAGTCACATTACCTGTAACACCACAGCCACACTACCACAGTCACACTACGAGTCACACCACAGTCACGCTACCACAGTCACACTACCTGTAACACCACAGCCACACTATCACGGTCACACTACCTGTAACACCACAGCCACACTACCACGGTCACACTACCTGTAACACCACAGCCACACTACCACAGTCACACTACGAGTAACACCACAGTCACACTACCTGTAACACCACAGCCACACTATCACGGTCACACTACCTGTACCACCACAGCCACACTACCACGGTCACACTACCTGTAACACCCACAGCCACACTACCACAGTCACACTACGAGTAACACCACAGTCACATTACCTGTAACACCACAGCCACACTACCACAGTCACACTACGAGTCACACCACAGTCACGCTACCACAGTCACACTACCTGTAACACCACAGCCACACTATCACGGTCACACTACCTGTAACACCACAGCCACACTACCACGGTCACACTACCTGTAACACCACAGCCACACTACCACAGTCACACTACGAGTAACACCACAGTCACACTACCTGTAACACCACAGCCACACTACCACAGTCACACTACCTGTAACACCCCAGCCACACTACAGCCACATTACCAGTCATACAATAGCCACACTACCAGTCACACTACGAGTCACACCACAGCCACACTACCTGTAACACCCCAGCCACGCTACAGCCACATTACCAGTCACACCATAGCCACACTACCAGTCACAATACGAGTCACACCACAGCCACACCACGTCTCTAACATAAGGTTAATATATGCATCACACTACCTGACTCGCTCATCCGTTAACGCACTGTTTAACAGTGCTGTTGCTCATACAACAACCCGGAAAATAAATGACTCCTGTCTGTGACCTAACATCAATATATTGCATCAATAAACAGCATCAATTATGTGTGGTTATTACGTGACTGCAAGAAGATCCCTACAAATTTCTGTACTTCGCTACTTATTGGATTGATGTGTGTGTACTCACCTAGTTGTGGTTGCGGGGTCGATTCACAGCTCCTGGCCCCGCCTCTTCGCTGGGCGCTACTGGGTCACTCTTCTCTCTCCATGAGCTTTATCATACCTCTTCTTAAAGCTATGTATGAATCCTGCCTCCACTACATCTCTTCCCAGACTATTCCACTTCCTGGCAACTCTGCGACTGAAGAAATACTTCCTAACATCCCTGTGATTCATCTGAATCTTCAACTTCCAACTGTGACCCCTTGTTTCTGTGTCCCATCTCTGGAACAGTGTCGTCAGGTCAATTTCCTTTAAACTCTCCTCATAGGACATACCCCTTAGCTCCGGGACTAGTCTTGTTGCAAACAGAGATGTGTTCTATTTGTCAGGAAGTTGTAGATCCATCTACCAACCTTTCCCATTATTCCTTTATCCCGCATTTTGTGCGCTACTACACCATGGTCACACTTGTCGAAAGCTTTTGCAAAGTCTGTGTATACTACATCTGTATTTTGTTTATCCTCTACAGCATCCAGGACCTTGTCATAGTGGTCCAGTAGCTGGGACAGGCAGGAGCAACCCTCTCTAAATCCATGTTGCCCTGGGTTGTGTAAGTGATGGGTATCTAGGTGGTTGGCGATCTTGCTTCTTAGAATCCTCTCAAAGATTTTTATGATATAGGATGTTAGTGCTATCGGTTTGCAGTTCTTTGCAATTGCTTTACTGCCACCTTTGTGGAGTGGGGCTATGTCTGTTGTTTTTAGTGTGTGTGGGATGACCCCTGTGTCCATGCTCCCTCTCCATAAAATGCTGAAGGCACGCGATAGGGGCTTCTTGCAATTCTTGATGAACATGGAGTTCCACGAGTCTGGGCCTGGGGCAGAGTGCATGGGCATGTCATTAATTACCTCTTCAAAATCTTGTGGAGTTAGAATAATATCCGAAAGTTTTGGGATGACCAAATTTTGTGTTTCGTTCATAAAGAATTCATTTGGATTGTCGACCCTTAGAGTGGGCAGTGGAACGCTGAACACTGAGTCATATTGGGTAAACTTAAGTATCTCACTCATTTCTTGGCTATCATCTGTGTATGTCCCATCCGCCTAAGCAGGGGCCCAATACTGGATGTTGTTTTTCCCTTAGATTTGGCATAAGAGAAGAAGTAGTTTTTTTTTTTTTCAATTTCCTTTATGACTTGTAGTTCTTCCTGTGATTCTTGTCTCCTATAAGATTCCTTCAGCTTAAGTTCGATATTTGCAATTTCATTGACTAGTGCCTCCCTTCGTATTTCAGATATATTGGCCCCACTCAGCGGCTCTGTGACTCTTCCCCTTCGTCTGCATAGGGAACGACTCTCTCTTCCTAGTTTACATCTTTTCTTTCTTTTTCCTAGTGGAATGTGTCTTGAGCAGATCTCAAGAACCACAGAATTAATTTTTTTCAATGCAAATGTTCGGAACCATGTTGTTTGGGATATCTTCCCAGCTTGTTTCATTTAGGACATGGTTTACTTGATCCCACTGTATGTTTTTGTTATTGAAATTGAATTTCGTGAAGAAACCTTCATGACTGCTCACATTTTGCTGGTCCAGAGTCCTGTGCATAGATGTCTGTACCTCTATTATGTTGTGATCTGAGTGAATTGTCTTTGATACAGTTATATTACATATCAGATCATCACTGTTAGTGAAGATGAGGTCCAGCGTATTTTCTAGTCTTGTAGGCTCTACTATTTGCTGGTTTAAGGTGAATTTGTTGCAGAGATTTAGTAGTTCGTGTGTGTGTGTGAATTTTCATCATAGCTGCCTCCCGGGGTGATCTCTGCTAAAACATTGTTTGCTATACTCCTCCGTTTTAGGTGTCTCAGGTTGAAATCTCCTAGTAGTAAGATGTTTGGGGCAGGAGTTGGGAGATTTTCCAGACAGCGGTCAATTTTCTCAAGCTGCTCCTGGAATTGCTGGGAAGTTGCATCTAGAGGCTTGTATACTTCCACAATGACAAGGTTTTGGTTTTCGATCTTTACCGCCAAAACTTCAGTCACATCATTTGAGGTGTTTAGTAGTTCTGTGCAAATGAGCGACTCTGTGACATACAGGCCAACCCCCCCCCCCCCTTGTTGTCTGTTTAGTCTGTCGCATCGGAACAGTTATAACCTGGGATCCATATTTCGTTGTCATAATGATCTTTTATGTGGGTCTCTGTGATTGCTCCAAACATTGCATTTGACTCCGTGAGCAGTCCCTTGATGTAAGGAATTTTGTTGTTTTTTGACGGCTTTAGTCCTTGTATGTTTGCAAAGACAAATGTCGTGGAATTTAGGGGGGTTTTATTTGCTGGCTCTAATATCTGTTGTTCTGGGGTAGAGGCCAATGTCCGTGACTCTGCTCCAGAAGTGTTTTCAGGTGGTGTAGGATTATTGTCATTTCTTACAAGTCTTTTTTCCCTTCTGACCTAAAAAACGTCTGTCCCTGGAGAGGTTGTGGCTCCTCTCTTTTGTTTCCCATAATAGTAATAGCATATATATATTTTCTTTCTTTCAGTAAATCAAATTTTCACTAGACTCACGAAATCGTTATAACAAGATTCAAAGCATATTAATAAATATATTTTTGGCCAGTTAACGTATACATTGTCCCTGGTAGAGCCACAGTGTCCCTTATATAGTTAGGATGTCCCTGGTACAATTACAGTATCCCTGATACAGTTAGGATGTCCCTGGTACAGGTACAGTGTCCCTGATATAGTTACAGTGTCCCTGGTATAGCTAGTGTCCCTTATATTTATACAGTTAGGATGTCCCTCGTACAGTTACAGTGTCCCTAGTACAGCTAAGTGTTCCTGGTACAGCTATAGCGTTCCTGTTACAGTTTGGGTATCCCAGTTTTCCTGGTACAGCTACAGTGTCCCGGGAAGCGGGCTGTGGTTCGTACGTCAGCTTGCGAGCAGCCAGCAGTAACAGCCTGGTTGATCAGACCCTGATCCACCATGAAGCCTGGTCTCAGACCGAGTCGCGGGGGCGGCTCGGTCTGAGGTAAACTCCAAAGTGTTCCTGGTACACCTATAATGTCCCTGGTACAACTACAGTGTTCCTGGGTACACCTACAATGGTCCTGGTACAGTTACAATGTCCCTGGTACAACTACAGTGTCCCTTATAAAGGTACAATGTCCCTGGTACAGTTAGTTTTCCTGGTACAAATAGTGTTCCTACTACAGGTATACACTGTATGAGGTGTGTGATGGAGCGTATGGTTCTGAGGTTATTGGAAGGTGGACGGGGGTGGTGGGCGAGGTGGTGTATTCCCACGCCCACATTGGTCTTGCTAACCTGGGTGTGAACTACGCCCGTAGTAGCGTCGTCACCTTTCCCAGAATTTCCACTAGCTACGGCGGCGCAGGTTAGTGCAGGCCAGCAAGGTGTCAACAGTTTTTTACAATTTAACATCTGCATTAAGCACCCCAAACCCATCCTGTGGGTGGTAGTCAAAATATTACAGTGGCACATAATGGGCCGCAAAGTTTGGATAGCTGAACAAGTTAGTGGTAATGAATCATTTACTTGTTTATATCTGGTTAGAATCGTAATGATTCAACGTTAGTCAAATTTTTTATTGCAAGTCAGTGTATGCTAGTACAAGTAGTTTTATGTGGTAGTGTAGTGTATAGCAGTGTATACATGAAGTATACTTGAAGGGTGTTCCGGGGGTCAACGCTCCCCTGGCCCGGTCCATGACCAGGCCTCGTGGTGGGAACCTTGCCCGATTCCTGTAGTAGTGGGTTTGAATCTTGCTGACTGATATATATTATATATATATATATATATATATATATATATATATATATATATATATATATATATATATATATATATATATATAATATATATATATATATATATATATATATATATGCAAAACAACCACTCTGAAAGAATAGAGAAATTCCAAGCGCTTTCGTGACTACTCACATTATCAAGGAACTATGAAAGTAAAGCATCCAAGGAAGGTATATAAGGGGTCTGGCCAACACCTCACTATCAGATCCCACAACGGTTAAAACACCTGACGCGCGCCGGCCCCAACTGGACAGGTCCTTTGCACAACTCACCCACAAACTATTCTACCCAAAAATTTAAAAATTATTATTTGTCCAGTGTATTATTAAATTCTTCCCAAATTCTATTAATTATAAATGGATCTAATTTATATAAACCAAAGGAAATATTCATATTATTGTCAAAACTTCTTTTTATGAAACAAGATTCAATTATATTCCTGTCGACCATGAACTTGCTTGATACTACTTTCTCAACTTTTTGAAAATCAATTGGATGGTTAAAATTTCTTACATGAATAAATAGAGCATTGGAATCTTGTCCAGTTCTAATGCTCTATTTATGTTGTTTTAATCTTAGTTCGAGATTTTTACCAGTTTGACCGTAATAAACTTTATCGCAAATTTTACAAGGAATCTTATAGACACATCCATCAGCATTTTGGGGGGAATTCTTTATCAAAAGTTTTTTTACTGTATCAAGATTTTTGAATACAACTTTAATAACAGGAAAAGTCGGTCGATGGATCTATAATTTCCTCACTAACAGAACACAGAGAGTAGTCGTCAACAGAGTAAAATCCGAGGCAGCTACGGTGAAAAGCTCTGTTCCACAAGGCACAGTACTAGCTCCCATCTTGTTCCTCATCCTCATATCCGACATAGACAAGGATGTCAGCCACAGCACCGTGTCTTCCTTTGCAGATGACACCCGAATCTGCATGACAGTGTCTTCCATTGCAGACACTGCAAGGCTCCAGGCGGACATCAACCAAATCTTTCAGTGGGCTGCAGAAAACAATATGAAGTTCAACGATGAGAAATTTCAATTACTCAGATATGGTAAACATGAGGAAATTAAATCTTCATCAGAGTACAAAACAAATTCTGGCCACGAAATAGAGCGAAACACCAACGTCAAAGACCTGGGAGTGATTATGTCGGAGGATCTCACCTTCAAGGACCATAACATTGTATCAATCGCATCTGCTAGAAAAATGACAGGATGGATAATGAGAACCTTCAAAACTAGGGAGGCCAAGCCCATGATGACACTCTTCAGGTCACTTGTTCTATCTAGGCTGGAATATTGCTGCACTCTAACAGCACCTTTCAAGGCAGGTGAAATTGCCGACCTAGAAAATGTACAGAGAACTTTCACGGCGCGCATAACGGAGATAAAACACCTCAATTACTGGGAGCGCTTGAGGTTTCTAAACCTGTATTCCCTGGAACGCAGGAGGGAGAGATACATGATTATATACACCTGGAAAATCCTAGAGGGACTAGTACCGAACTTGCACACGAAAATCACTCACTACGAAAGCAAAAGACTTGGCAGACGATGCACCATCCCCCCAATGAAAAGCAGGGGTGTCACTAGCACGTTAAGAGACCATACAATAAGTGTCAGGGGCCCGAGACTGTTCAACTGCCTCCCAGCACACATAAGGGGGATTACCAACAGACCCCTGGCAGTCTTCAAGCTGGCACTGGACAAGCACCTAAAGTCAGTTCCTGATCAGCCGGGCTGTGGCTCGTACGTTGGTTTGCGTGCAGCCAGCAGCAACAGCCTGGTTGATCAGGCGCTGATCCACCAGGAGGCCTGGTCACAGACCGGGCCGCGGGGGCGTTGACCCCCGAAACTCTCTCCAGGTAAACTCCAGGTAATATTAAAAGTCTTAAGAAGAGAAGGCATATCAACCAAGTTTTCATGGTAAGGGAGAACCAACATATTTTTAGTTGAATAAGGCTGGTTGTCCCTTTTTGGATTGTAAAAAGTATTTCTAGCAACTTTAAAAGATTTATCAATTACATTTCTTGGGTATTTTAAATCATTACCTATTTCATAAATTTTGGATATTTCCTCATCTATGAACTCAGGACTACAAATTCGTAAAGCTCTCAAAAACATTGATGAGAAAACAGACAGTTTGACTCTATCTTGATTCGAGGAATAATAGTGGACATAGGAACAGTTATTTGTAGGTTTTCTGTAAATTTTAAATTTGAATTCATTATTACCCTTAATAATTAAAACATCTAGAAAAGGCAATGGTTGTTTTGCATATTCTAAAATCACCTGTTTACTGTGATCTTATTGCATATATATATATATATATATATATATATATATATATATATATATATATATATATATATATATATATATATATATATATATATATATATATATATATATATATATGTATGTATATAATTATATATATATATATATATATATATATATATATATATATATTATATATATATATATATATTATATATATTATATATATTATATGTTAATCCTATACTTGCATTAGGTATAGTGTTCCACCGACTACACAAGAATTGTTCAAGCAACCTTGCTGTATATTTCCTGCCCTTCTCCATCAACGTGTGGGCGTGTATTTGTGTGAGCGTGCCCGTGGCTGCTCTAGCTATACACCTCACTACACGCCCTCGCTCCAGCCTGCGGGTGTGGCTACACAGGCGACAACACAGGAAGAGATGCCATCAGCAAGGGGTTCACCTAACTCAAGTTTTCAACACTACTGCACCGTCAGTACTGGGGCAGCACCCGACACCTCGGCCTTCCATACACAGCCTCCAGCAGGTATCTATCTGGATCCAGGTGGCGTACTGCCCCCGCTAAAGACACACCTTGTAGAACAAGCATTTATTGCGTCAACGTTTTGCTTTGTTGGAGTTTCATTAAATCCTACGACTTTAGCTTTAGTTTAATATCTTCATTATGTACCCCATACCCATCATATGGGCGGTAGTCAGAAGATTACAGAGTCACATGGTAGGTCCAAAGTTTTGATAGCTAAACAAGTTAGTGATAATAAACTATTTACATATTTATGTCTAATTACAATCATATGACTTTACACAGAGCGAAATGTTGACTCAATAAAAGTTTATTTAATTATTATTATGATAATCAGGAAGAAACTCTAAATCCGAAGGGGTCATATAGCACCTGGGAAATTTGACACAATCAGGCTTGATCAAAAGTGAAGGACTGGTCCAGTTCCTTGGATCAAGAACTCCCTAATCTGTATGAAAGTGCATTACCTCCTGGAGGGGAGATTTCTCTATATGGCTGATCATCAAGTGTTAACCTGATGCTTTCTGGCATAACTGGTTTTTTTTTTTTTATCGTTACACTGACTTTCTTCGGAGGAATAAGGTTGATATTTATTACTTCACTCTCCAACTGCAAGTCAAGCCATAAAATCCACTTGTCTCCACTCTGATCTAAGGCGATCTCATAAATGCCTGATAGGATGTTCAAACCCATAGTACTGGAAAACTTCTTCAGCCGTTCCCTAGAACTGTTACTGTCACGATCCTCACCCCATCTTCCTCCCACTCCTGATTTACATAGCTTCCAATTCATTCTATTCTGGTCCAACTTCTCGAAGTGCCCAAATCACACTTTTAATTTCCATGTTTTATATACTCTTAAATTCGTCCACCAACATTTGCAACTTATTTTCAAGTTTTATATATACGACTCGTGAGGGACATTTATAGCAAAGAGTGGTGGAGGCTCGACCCTCAGTCACGTAATACCCAGACGCTTCACAAAAATTGCATTCACAGGACCAAATAAGGCTGTAAGTTATTGTTTAGGATTTTTAGAAGCTTAGATATTTTATATTTCAAAGTCTGGCCCTAGTATTTTAATACACCAGGTAAGCATTAGAGGTGTTAATTTTATTTAATATTGAAATACCACGTACAAGGTGAAGTTGATGCTTTCATTCCATCAGTTCAGTTGATTTGTTTAAGAAAAATGTGCAGAGAAAGATGTGAGTAAAGTGAGGCCATCTTGTGATTATAGCTCAGTACCATTATAATGTTTAGCAATCAGAAATTTGTGGCCTAGTCCCTGGACCCATTATGTGCCTCTGTAATCTTTTGACTACCGCCCACAGGATGGGTTTGGGGTGCATAATAAAGATATTAAACTAATAAACTAACTTGTGATTTAGCTACCATATCTTACCTCGACGGTTGATTCATAAATGAAAAAAAAATCATTAGCTGACTTCATGAGTGTTCTCTTTACTCGTATTGGTCTATGAAGAGTCAGTATAGCTTACGTACCCTAACAGAACATAACCTAACCTTGAAGACTAACCTAAAACTAATATTCCTTAAAAAAAATATTTTTCCCCCCTCACAAAAATTTAGATTTTCCCTGTGTTCTGTGTCACCAGTTTAACTACCATTTGTTTCTTTTTCACTTAGCAGAACACACTGAAGGCTGGAAGGAAAGACAAAACAGAGACAAGCCTAAAACTGGATGACAGAGGACGAGAGAGGAAAGAGGAGGCTGTGTCATTCTTCAACGGTGTGTGGTTCGCTGCTACAGTTCTCATGCAGCAAGGTGAGTTGACTGCAAGCTTAGTGACACCATCCGACTAAAATTTGATTATTATATTCATGAGTGGACATCCTTAATGTTTCAAAAGCATTAGCACGGAGAATCTATTAAGCATATGTTCACTAGACACGAGTCATTTCCTTATAGATTTAGTTTTGGAACCTTTGTGCTTAGATGTTAGATCATTATCTGGTAGAGTAGTGTAGAAAGCGCTTTAAATCCACTTAAAACTACATGAAACTACGTACATACATGGTATTATTCTGTGGCAGGCTGACCAGCTTCGGGGAGGAAGCAACAGTACCAACCTACGAGGCTGCTCTAGACCGTGTCCGGAAGGAGTCCTACGCATTCATAGGAGACTATGTGGGTGAGTTCTACTTGCCTGGAGTCCTTATGCATTCACTGAAGACTCTGGGTGAGTTCTCCTGGTTTGGTCTTCCATCACTCACAGTTCATATAGTTTTTTCCTCACACCCTTGACACTTTATAACTAATTAGGTAAATATTATACTTCACAAGTAGTCCAAAAATTAGGCATGGAAACGAGACATAAACAGGTCTAGGAAGGGCCGAAACATGTCTAGTTTTGACTTAAAAATCTGTCGATTCTTTGGGAATTGTTTCGGCCACTTTATTGTGACTAATATTTTTCACACTTCTCTGTGCTAAGGAATGTTTACTATTGTACATAACTTAAATGTTACACTACATATTTATTAGGCTAAAAGCTGTGCCCAACCTTAGCTCCTCCCAGAGCCTGTCTTATACAGTTATTACATCCTTAAGGCCTGAGGTGAAAGGGAACTTACCTAGTTCCCTTTACAAGAATTGTAACCTTAATTCTAAAGAAAAATATTCTTTTAGTTGAAAATTTGGGAATTTCTGACCACATATTAGCAGTGATATTATTGGTTCAGTAAAAACCGGGCCAATGTTAGTAGGTAAGGCTTTTTCTGGCACCCAATATACCAGGTATGACAAAAATGTAAATACAAATATATCCATATTTTTTTACGCAGTCAAATGTTAGAGTGCTTGTGTTAGCTTAGTAGTAATAAATTAATATTTTGTCTCAGATGAATTATTATTATTATTATAATCAAGGGGGAAGCGCTAAACCCAGAGGATTATACAGCGCCTGGGGGGGGGGGGGATGTGGAAGGCATTCAGGCTTAATTCGGGGAACTGGAGCACAAATCCAATTCCCTAAATCAAGAGCCCCTCACCAACATCAAGGAACCTTCCTTGAGGGGTGTCTCAGATGAAGTCATTCATTGGTGTTTCGTGTTATATTAACAGTACTTAGTTAACGATCCACATGTTTGATGAAACAGCAAATACAGCTTTGTTGAAGACTGCTTATTAATTTAATATGCATAGTTCTTGTTTATCATGTAATATTCCAGTGTGAGAGAGATGTCCAGGTTGGTGAAGATGAAGGGTACGGGAGTGCAAGGATTCTCTCCTGAGCTGTGATTCTTAACTAAATACAAATGAACTTGAGTAAAACCTATCCTACTATAATAGTTCTCTTAATCTTATCGACAGTGCTAGACTACTACCAGAAGAAGGACTGTAATTTGGTCCTTCTTAAGGAACAGCTGTTCCAGTCTATGAGTTCTATCGTCCTGCCTCATCACTCCCAGCTACTGCCCGCCATCAACCATTAGTAAGTGCTAGTAATGTCTCGTGGCTTAGCTGGAGTGAGTTTCAAAGTTTTAATAGCTAAGCAAGTTACAATGGTGATAAACTACATACTTATGTCTGGTTACACTGTAATGAGTTTACCGTGTGACAGCCTGGCAGTGATGAGTGAGACTGGTGTACTAGACAAGCTTCGTGAACGATGGTGGCGCGCACAGTCCTGCCCAGACGAGGATACACTGACATCCTATGACAGTGTTGACCTGTGGGAGGTAGGTCCTTCATGCATATACTCACATCTACGACAGTATTGACCTGTGGGAGGTAGTTCCTTTATGTATATACACAGGGTTTACCTGGAGAGGGTTTCGGGGGTCAACGCCCCCGCGGCTTGGTCTGAGACCAGGCCTCACGGTGGATCAGGGTCTAATCAACCAGGCTGTTACTACTGGCCGCACGCAAGCTGACATACGAACCACAGCCCGGTTGGTCAGGTACTGACTTTAGGTGCCTGTCCAGTGCCTTCTTAAAGACAGCCAGGGGTCTATTGGTAATTCCCCTTATGTATGCTGGGATGCGGTTGAACAGTCTTGGGCCCCGGACACTTACTGTGTTGTCTCTCAATGTACTCGTGGCGTCCCTGCTTTTCAATGGGGGAATGTTGCATCTCCTGTCGAGTCTTTTGCTTTCGTATGGAGTGATTTTCTTGTGCAGGTTTGGTACCAATCACTCCAGGACCTTCCAAGTGTATATTATCATGTATCTCTCTCGCCTGCGTTCCAGGGAATACAGATCAAGGACCTTCAACCGTTCCCAGTAATTTAAGTGCCTTATCGACGTTATCGTGCTTATAGAGGAAACGTACTTTTTCTGTCAGGTTTCGATGGGCGTAAGTCACTGACTTTTTTTTAGTTATCCTGGTGGGTAATTTACTTGTCTTACTATGCATGAAAACAAACTTATGTTGAAATTGGGTCATAAAACAATCATAGTTGATTAAAAAAAAATTCTTATACGTGCATTTTGTACTAATAAAATTATCTGACATACCTTTAGTGTTTAGTTCCTGGTGGGAACTAATGAGTTTCTCTTTTATACATTTGTCAGCATTATACATCTTGTTTGTAACATTCACAGGTGTGTTCTGCTATGATATTAATGGCTACTGGAGTGGCCATATCCCTGTTGGTGTGCTTCCTGGAGTACGCTGGGCCTCGCTTCCTCACCATTACTAGCACCAACACAGCTAGCAGAAATGCCTACACCAACACTCACTCCAACACTAACATCACAAGTCACTCACCTTCCTCACTCACTACCTCTAAGCTGTACTTTAGATAAGACCGAGGATGTATGGAGACTTCACAAGTGTGTTCGCAAGTATCAGTTTTGGAACCTGTATTGTCCATGATCTACATTAATGACCTCGGTCAAAGCATTAAAAGGACGAGAGTAAATTCACTGACAACACAAAAGTATGTCGAGTAAGGAATTCGATGGAGGATACCGGATATAGCACAATTTCAGAATTTGAACAAATTCAAGTTATGGCCGGAAAAATAGTAAATACAATATTGTCAGTTTTTAAAACTGCCAAGTCTTTATATCCAGGAATGAAAATAACTAGATATTATAACTTAGCGCTTGATCACATAAAATATGTAAATGATTTACAGTGAATTACAATAACAGCCTATTCTGGGATCTTAGTGACCACAACAAGTGCCTCTGGGTACCAGATATCTTCATGCAGCTGAAATTTAAACATATTGTAACATTAACATCGCATTAGGTGTTTAATTTATACATACATTGAATGTTAATTAATGTTAATTCAGGATGATTACTAAATAAATGTTTAAACAATTTACGAGTAGTTATTTTATCATTTAATGGAGTGGATTATATGGTATTTATACTGACCATGGTTACATGGGTTGTCCATATAATAACTGGTTATCATAAATAACGTTTTAAAATTATTTTAAGCTCGAATCTAAGAAATGGCTATTTCACAAAAATATGGAAATGTGTGCTGTTAAAAGTTAACTGAGAGGTGTATTAATCTCGGTGTATGTATGCTGAGACTTTAATCCCTATTTTAAATGATTAAATTATTCTTGTCTAGTGGTGAAAAGCTAATGTGCAGCCTTAATGACTTGTGTAGTTGATAGGCTTTAAACCTCATTAACAATCCAGCTAACTGCGACTGTTACAGACGCAGTTTAAATTAAGCTTTCATCTCTAATATCAGAGGTTATGGATGTGAAAGATATATGTATACCGATTATTAACCCGAAGGATAAAAAACTCAGGATTATCCAAGAGAGAGCCAAGCAGTATGGTTTATTTCCACCGAGGTTCTTTAAACCTTTCCCTCAGGATGAGATCCACAAAAGTCAATACCCGGGTACCTACTTAGATGAACAGGAATTAGCTCAGTAGTTTTGCACTTGCCCGTGGGCTCTTCCAGTCACCTCCGTTATCATGTCGACCATCGCCTTCTTGTAGTCAATATATTCCTGTCTGTCATTCGCTGTTGAGCGAGAGCTTATTGTTCCAGTTTCTGTTTTTCAAGGAAACTTTTCCTCTACAATTCCAGCCAGACTTGGGTGATATATCTCCCGGTCTACAGGAAGTTTTCGTTGAATATCTTCATTCTGCACCCCCTTATCCATGGTGTGTGAGAGGTAGTCAAACATAATGGGTCCAGGGACTGGACCCCAAAGTTTGGATAGCTAAATGGACTATTTATATGTTTATATCTAGTTACAGTCGCAGTGTGTTTTTTCATGCAGACAAAAATATTTGCCTTATCGAAGTATTTTATCCACAGTGCCAGGAACCCTAGACCAGCAAGATTATTGCCTGCAAAAGACAACCATTGAGACCCATCTCATCTGGAATAAGCAGCGCTCTCTCCCCCAAAACTATCAGGAATCCTTGCCAAACACCTAGCGAAACTCTTAGGCACCACCTGTCACACACATTTAAAACATTTTGATAACCACCTCAACTACATCAGAAATAAGTTCTCCAATCAAGATGTAGCATCAGTACTCACTGAGGTATAGAGCACCAGCCATCGATCTCCTGCGACGAAAAATTGATGACACCCTCAACCTCTTCGTCCCCTCAAGGAAGGTTCCTTGATATTGGTGAGGGGCTCTTGATTTAGGGAATTGGATCTGTGCTCCAGTTCCCCGAATTAAGCCTGAATGCCTTCCACATCCCCCCCCAGGCGCTGTATAATTCTCCGGGTTTAGCGCTTCCCCCTTGATTATAATAATAATAATCAACCTCTTCGTTCCGGCTAAAGATTTTATTGATCTTGTCAAATTGTGTTTTAACTTTTTCTGTTTGAAAATTTTCTGTCAACAGACGTAACGTAACTGAAACAGCAATATTCTATGTCAAACAAAACCAGCTCATCAGTTCTGGTGAAGCTAGACATAATAAACTAGCCACTTCGGTGGCAAAATCTAAAAATCTAATCAAGAGGGAGAGGTTTTTTAGTGCCAGGAAGGAAAAAAACTGGCAGGAAATGGCAAAAATCGTACACCAAATCCAGTCATTCCTGGAATGGAACCACAGTCGATGGCCTCCACTCCAAACCAACAGATACAGATACTAATGCCGGAAAAAAATCCCCCCCCCCAGTACCAACAATACCACCAGTCCGATGACATTCGTCTTTGCAAATATACAGGGTCTAAAGCCAGCAACAAACAACAAAATACCTTTCATCCGTGGACTGCTTGCAGAGGCAAAGGAAATGTTCGCGGCTTTCACTGAGACCCACATAAAGGATCACTTGGACAACGAAATAAGAATCCCAGGTTACAACCTATACAGATGTGACAGAGTGAACAGGCAAAAGGGAGGGAAAGGTTGGCCTGTACATTGCAGAGTCACTTGTTTGCACAGAACTGCTTAATGCCTCAAATGATGTAGTGGAAGTTTTAGCAGTAAAGATCGAGAACCAAAACCTAGTCATTGTGGTAGTTTACAAGCCTCCGGATGCAACATCCCAGCAATTCCAGGAACAGCTGTTAAAAATTGACCACTGTCTGGAAAATCTGCCAGCTCCTCCACCCAACATCTTGCTCCTGGGGGATTTCAACTTAAGGCACCTGAAATGGAGGAATATAGCAAATAATATTGTTGCAGTAATAACACCAGGAGGCAGCTCTGATGAAAACTCACACTCACACGAGCTTTTAAATCTCTGCACAAAATTCAATTTAAACCAGCAAATAATAGAGCCTACTAGACTGGAGAATACACTAGACCTCATCTTCACTAACAATGATGATCTGATACGAAATGTCACCATATAAAAAACATTATACTCAGATCACAACATAATTGAGGTTCAGACATGTATGCGTGGAGCCCCAGACAGACATAATGGGATTAGTCACGAGGGGGCATTCACCAAATTCAACTTCAATAACAAAAACATAAAGTGGGACCAAGTAAACCAAGTCCTAACCGATATAAGCTGGGAAGATATACTAAGCCACACAGACCCCAACTTATGCCTAGAACAGATTAACTAGGTGGCACTCGATGTATGCACAAGGCTTATTCCTCTAAGAAAAAGGAGGAGTAGATGTAAAATAGAAAGAAACAGGCGCTCCCTTTACAGGCGACGGAAAAGAATAACAGAGCGGCTAAAAGAGGTCAATATATCTGAAATGCGTAAGGAGACACTGGTCAGAGAAATAGCAAACATCGAACTTAAGCTAAAGCAATCTTATAGGAGTCAGGAATAGCGGGAAGAACTAAAAGCCATAAATGAAATCGAAAGAAACCCAAAGTATTTCTTCTCCTATGCCAAATCAAAGTCGAGAACAACGTCCAGTATTGGGCCCCTACTTAAAACAAGATGGGTCCTACACAGATGACAGCAAGGAAATGAGTGAGCTACTCAAGTCCCAATATGACTCAGTTTTTAGCAAGCCGCTAACCAGACTGAGAGTCGAAGATCAAAATGAATTTTTTTATGATAGAGCCACAGAATTTGGTTAACACAAGTCTATCTGATGTTATCCTGACGCCAAATGACTTCGAACAGGCGATAAATGACATGCCCATGCACTCTGCCCCAGGGCCAGACTCATGGAGCTCCGTGTTCATCAAGAACTGCAAGAAGCCCCTATCACGAGCTTTTACCATCCTATGGAGAGGGAGCATGGACACGGGGGTCGTCCCACAGTTACTAAAAACAACAGACATAGCCCCACTCCACAAAGGGGGCAGTAAAGCAATAGCAAAGAACTACAGACCGATAGCACTAACATCTCATATCATAAAAATCTTTGAAAGGGTCCTAAGAGGCAAGATCACCACCCATCTAGAAACCCATCAATTACACAACCCAGGGCAACATGGGTTTAGAACAGGTCGCTCCTGTCTGTCTCAACTATTGGATCACTACGACAAGGTCCTAGATGCACTAGAAGACAAAAAAATGCAGATGTAATATATACAGACTTTGCAAAAGCCTTCGACAAGTGTGACCATGGCGTAATAGCGCACAAAATGCGTGCTAAAGGAATAACAGGAAAAGTCGGTCGATGGATCTATAATTTCCTCACTAACAGAACACAGAGAGTAGTAGTCAACAGAGTAAAGTCCGAGGCAGCTACGGTGAAAAGCTCTGTCCACAAGGCACAGTACTCGCTCCCATCTTGTCTATCCTCATATCTGACATAGACAAGGATGTCAGCCACAGCACGGTGTCTTCCTTTGCAGATGACACCCGCTGCATGACAGTGTCTTCCATTGCAGACACTACAAGGCTCCAGGCGGACATCAACCAAATCTTTCAGTGGGCTGCAGAAAACAATATGAAGTTCAACGATGAAAAATTTCAATTACTCAGATATGGTAAACACGAGGAAATTAAATCTTCATCAGAGTACAAAACAAATTCTGGCCACAAAATAGAGCGAAACGCCAACGTCAAAGACCTGGGAGTGATCATGTCGGAGGATCTCACCTTCAGGGACCATAACATTGTATCAATCGCATCTGCTAGAAAAATGACAGGGTGGATAATGAGAACCTTCAAAGCTAGGGATGCCAAGCCCATGATGACACTCTTCAGGTCACTTGTTCTATCTAGGCTGGAATATTGCTGCACACTAACAGCACCTTTCAAGGCAGGTGAAATTGCTGACCTAGAAAATGTACAGAGAACCTTCACGGCGCGCATAACGGAGATAAAACACCTCAATTACTGGGAGCTCTTGAGGTTCCTGAACCTGTATTCCCTGGAATGCAGGCGGGAGAGATACATGATTATATACACATGGAAAATCCTAGAGGGACTAGTACGAACTTGCACACGAAAATCACTCACTACGAAAGCAAAAGACTTGGCAGACGATGCAACATCCCCCAATGAAAAGCAGGGGTGTCACTAGCACGTTAAGAGACCATACAATAAGTGTCAGGGGCCCGAGACTGTTCAACTGCCTCCCAGCATACATAAGGGGGATTACCAACAGACCCCTGGCAGTCTTCAATGTGGCACTGGACAAGCACCTAAAGTCGGTTCCTGACCAGCCGGGCTGTGGCTCGTACGTTGGTTTGCGTGCAGCCAGCAGTAACAGCCTGGTTGATCAGGCTCTGATCCACCAGGAGGCCTGATCACAGACCAGGCCGCGGGGGCGTTGACCCCCGGAACTCTCTCCAGGTAAGCTGAGTGATTTTCCTCTATCCACTTCACACTAAGAGAAAGTCGACGGGACTCTAACCTTTCCTTGACGCTCTTCTCTCTAAATCTGATCATAAACTACGTACCAGAGTCTACCGAAAATCTACCAATCAACAAGATCTTTCTCCATTACTACTCTCGCCACAACACCAAGACTGAACACTGCTTCATCATAGGCTTCTTCCTACTTGCTTTCCGTATCTGCAACAGTGAATATCTTTAGGAAGGATGCTTTTTCCTAGAAAATATATTTTCTAAACTTCACGATCCTAGTCATTAATGCCATCAGACCAAACCATACCCCGGCCGGGATTGAACCCGCGGTCAGAGAGTCTCAAAACTCCAGCCCGTCGCGTTAGCCACTAGACCAGCTAGCCACAATAAGATTCGTCCAACTAGGTATATTTCTACACCATAGGAAGGTTAGCAGGAGTCGTGAATATAGCATAAACTTACGTAGACGATACACAACCAAAAGCTACAGGTCTCCCAGCATTCTAACACCAAGTTCCAAGTATCCACCACTGCCTCCATTGCAATAAGGACATCACCAGTAACGGACACCCTCAAGTCAAAACCACAACAGAGGTTTATGCAGACCCTTACAACGACTGTTACTAAATATGCGTATGAGAAATATCAAGAGACCTCCACACAAGTATTTCTGAACTCCAGTATGACAGCAGAATGGACCGCTTGAACAACACCAGTTTCACACAGTGACGGATAACTCATTGTTAACGACACTTCAGAACACAGGATTCTGGAAGCATCACTCATCAGCATATCTAACAACTCACCCAGAACGGTTTCTACAACATAGCTGAGCCACTTGGCTTAATTCCAGTATAAACCCTTCTCTGAAACTTTCCTCAACATAGCACAAGACACAAAATCCTCCTTGACATCCGTGTCCAACTTTACCTATGCAAAAAAAACTATGCACATAATAGACCCTAAGATCTGGAGATCATTGCCCAAAGCATCGAAAGGTTCCCTGTTCGCTATTGATTCGGAGCTGTTGTATTGCTACAAGGCACCTCATCTCCCTAACGTAACTGTAACAGCAATACTCTATATCAAACAAAAACCAGCTCATCAGTTATGTCCCTCTTCTTTTTTCAGTCTTCCTTCAACTCCCATAGAAAATTGGTAACACATCTTGTCCCACTGTATTTCAGTTACAATAAGTAACTTGCTGTATCTGCACTATCTATTCAGTCACTCCACAAAGCTGAAGATCATTGAATCATTTTGAAATAATAAGTCATATTTTTTAAATTATACCTTACTTATACTACATATGACCAATTAAATGCTTGAAAATTCCTAATAATTATTCTTAAGTAACTTTGTATATTAATGTCGCTCTTTTGTCCCTAACAATGTTGTATTACATGTGAATATATTACTTGTGCTGCATAAAGAAATACAAGTTTAGATTTGTATTTGCTAGGCTTTAAATAATTTTTTTTTTACAAGGACCCCAATGTTAATATGCCACTTTGACTTTTGGGGTTATCCTGGGAAATTCACACTAATTGTACTTATGTGTACCTGTGTCTAAATAAAGGATTCAAATTAGATAAATTTAGATTTCGAAAGGATATAGGAAAGTATTGGTTTGGAAATAGGGTAGTTGATGAGTGGAACAGTCTACCTAGTTGGGTTATTGAAGCTAAAACGTTGGATAGATTCAAATTTAGGTTAGATAAATACATGAGTGAGAGGGGTTGGATTGAGTGAGACTTGCATAATGAGTAAATAGAATCATCAAAACTTATTTCTTGGGTAGCATTGAAAACTGGGTTGGGCAAATGTTTTCTAAGTTGGAAGGATTGTAAAGGACTTGCCTAGTATGGGCCAACAAGCCTGCTGCAGTGTTCCTCCTTTCTTATGTTTTTATGTTCTTATTTGCTTACTTACTAACTTATTTACACACTAACTTAATTACTTACTAACTTAATTACTAACTTACTAATTTAGTAACTTACATATTTACTTACTAACTTAATTACTAACTTACTAAATTACTTACTAATTTAATTATTTACTAACTTAATTACTTACTAACTTAATTACTTACTAACTTAATTACTAACTTATTAACTTAATTACTAGCTTACTAAATTACTAACTTATATACTTACTAAATTACTTGTTAACTTACTAATTTACTAACTTAATTACCAACTTACTAACTTAATTACTTACTAACTTACTTAATTACTAATTTACTTACTAACTTAATTACTAACTTATTTATTTACTAACTTATTACCTTATTTTTCTTACTAACTAACATTTCTTTAGTTGATATATTATATGTGTTAAGTGTCAGCTCCGGTGGCCCTGAATAACCCCAACAACAACAACAAGAACTACTGGGTGAGACATTTTACATTTTTTTCACATTACTTTCTGTTAGCTGGGCTGTAAGGTGATGTTGCAAGCTAAAACGCACCCAGTGCCAGCTTATTCTGCCAGCTTGATAAAGAAAGCTTAAGTCTCCAGTGAGATATGAGACATTTTAACTAAGATTTATGAGTTGTCAATCCTGAGGTTCCACCAGGCCATTGTCACTTGATGTAATAAAGTGAAGGGCTCTTGATCCAAAGAATTAGGGCTAACTTCCCTTTCCTTAGGTGATGAAGATTTTTTGGGGATTATGAGCCCGGAGGGTTAGTAAGTTTATTTAGGTAAGATAATCGTAAGTACAATTATCATACAGAGTTTAACGTGGGTTTAATTATCCCATGAATTTAATAAAAATAATGGTATTCAATATTCACAGATGACTCCCGAATATACATGACAATGACCTCCATCAAAGACACCGCAAGACTCCACATGGACATCAACCAAATCCTTAAATGGGCCGCAGAAAACAATATGAAGCTCAAGGATGAGAAATTTCAATTGCTCTGATATGGAAAAAGTGAGGAAATTAAAACTGTATCGGAGTAAAAAACAAATTCCAACCACACAATAGAGCGAGAAACTAATGTAAAAGACCTGAGTGTGATCATGTCAGAGGATCTCACCTTCAAAGACCATACCTGGAGGTTACCTGGAGGTTATTCCAGGGATCAATGCCCCTGCGGCCCGGTCCATGACCAGACCTCCCGATGGATCAGGGCCTGATCAACTAGGCTGTTACTGCTGGCTGCACGCAGTCCAACGTACGAGCCACAGCCCGGCTGATCTGGCACTGACTTTATGGGAGGCTGTTGAACAGTCTTGGGCCCTGGACACTTATGGTGTTTTCCCTTAGTGTACCAGTGGCTCCCCTACTTTTTATTGGGGGCATTTTGCATCGCCTGCCCAGTCTTTTGCTTTCATAGGGAGTGATTTCTGTGTGCAGATTTGGGACCATTCCTTCCAGGATTTTCCAAGTGTAGATTATGATATATCTCTCCCTCCTGCGTTCCAACGAGTACAAGTCAAGTGCTTCCAAGCGTTCCCAGTAGTTAAGGGGCTTGACAGAACTTATACATGCAGTAAAGGATCTCTGTACACTCTCTAGATCTGCGATTTCACCTGCTTTGAATGGAGATGTTAATGTACAGCAGTATTCCAGCCTAGAGAGAACAAGTGATTTGAAAAGGATCATCATTGGCTTGGCATCTCGCGTTTTGAACGTTCTCATTATCCATTCTATCATTTTCTTTGTACGTGCGATCGTGGCACTGTTGTGATCCTTGAAAGTGAGATCCTCAGACATTACTACTCCGAGGTCCCTTACATTATTTTTCCGCTCTATTGTGTGGCCAGAGTCTGTAGTATATACTCTGTTCTAGTTATTATCTCCTCCAGTTTTCCATAACAGAGTAGTTGGAATTTGTCCTCATTGAACATCATATTGTTTACTGTTGCCCACTGGAAAACTTTGTTTATATCTTCTTGGAGGTTAACCGCATCCTCAGCAGATGACAGCCTCATGCAGATCCTAGTATCATCCGCAAATGATGATACGGTGCTGTGATGTATCAATTGCTTCTGCTAGAAAAATAACAGGATGGATAATGAGAACCTTCAAAACCAGGGATGCCAAGCCCATGATGACACTCTTCAGGTCACTTGTTCTATCAAGGCTGGAATATTGCTGCTCGCTAACAGCACCTTTCAAAGCAGGTGAAATTGCTGACCTAGAAAATGTACAGAGAACCTTCACAGCACACACAACTGTGATAAAACACCTCAATTACTGGGAATACTTGAAGTTCCTCAACCTGTACTCCCTAGAATGCAGACAGGAGAGATACATGATTATATACACTTGGAAAATCCTAGAGGGATTAGTACCGAACTTGCACACGAAAATCACACCCTACAAAAGCAAAAGACTTGGCAGATGATGCAACATCCTCCCAATGAAAAGCAAGGGTGCCACTCGCACGTTAAGAGACAACAAAATAAGTGTCCTGGGCCCAAGACTGTTCAGTTGCCTCCCAGCATACATAGGTGGGCTTACCAATACACCCCTGGCTGTCTTCAAGAAGGCACTGGACAGGTACCTTAAGTCAGTACCTGACCAGCTGGGCTGTGGTTCGTATGTCGGGTGGCTTGTGACCAACAGTAACATCCTGGTTGATCAGACCCTTAACCACCATGAGGCCTGGTCACAGACCAGGTTGCAGGACCATTGTCCCCCAAAACCCTCTCCAGGTAACACATGGGGGTCACTGTATGAGACATACGGCTTTAGTGCTTTTCCATGTATTTATATTAATGTAAACCGAGTTGATATAATAGTCATCTCAAGGGGATCTTGATCCATGGCACTGAATCTGACCACCCTTCCTTGGATCAAAACTGATTGCCACCCATTCCCTAGGTGCTGGGTGATCCCCTACAGGTTTATCGCTCCTCCCCTTGAATGTAGCTGATGATTTTATTTGGATTGTTAAGCCAGAGAGTTGGTAAACCAAGCTAACCCAATGTTTTAAATAATACCATCAGAACCTTAATGCAGATCTTTGTCCCAGCATTTCAATGAAATCTTTGTACAACCATCCACAGGATAGGTATAGGGTGAATAAATAAAGGGGATGTAAATAGTGTGCTGAAAATATCTAGCCTAGACAGGACTCGCAGCAATGGTTTTAAGTTAGAAAAATTCAGATTCAGGAAGGATATAGGAAAGTACTGGTTTGGTAATAGAGTTGTGGATGAGTGGAACAAACTCCCAAGTACCGTTATAGAGGCCAGAACGTTGTGTAGCTTTAAAAATAGGTTGGATAAATACATGAGTAGATGTGGGTGGGTGTGAGTTAGACCTGATAGCTTGTGCTACCAGGTCGGTTGCCGTCTTCCTCCCTTAAGTCAATGTGACCTGATCTGACTAGGTTGGGTGCATTGGCTTAAGCCGGTAGGAGACTTGGACCTGCCTCGCATGGGCCAGTAGGCCTTCTGCAGTGTTCCTTCGTTCTTATGTTCTTATGTTCTTATAATAGAGTATATAAATTAAATCTTAGGTGTTTGGTCAGTTTATCAAATTTCTTTTGAGAAAAGTGAATACGAAAGAAGTTTACAGTTAGCAGAGATCAAAATATTCTTTATATGTCTTAAAATGTTCATTTTCTTCTTGCATTTTTATTTATTTTTGGGATGTCTGGAACTGACAAATTTTTGTATTTATAAATATGTAGAGTACAGTGGAACCTGTTCGAGTGCCTTTACCGAATGAATTTATTCCCATCAGGAATAATGTAAATTAGATTAGTCCATTTCAGACCCTCAAAAATACACTTATAAAAGCACTTACAAAAATACATTTGCATAATTGGTCGTGTTGGGAGCAGTTCGATTTTTGAGGTTCCACTGTATCATGTTAAAAGTTTAATTTGACATTTTTACTTTTGTAATTCCCAATATTACTGAGATTTGTGATCTCTTGTATTCACATTAACCTTTATGGGTTTACCATAGTGCCTTTAGTTAATATTATTATTTATTCCTAAATTTAGAAGTGCTGTATGACCCTTTCAGGTTGGAAATAAATTATGTGTTAAAATAATAATAATAATAATAATATAAGGTTAGAATAAAAGCATGAGGAAGAGTCATGTGGAACCCTTAAGCTAATTTTTTATCAATAAATTTAATGGCTCTGTCTTTCTTGTAATAAAAAATGGAGTAGATGATTTTAATGCAGCTTTTTTTTATTAACGCATTGGCTGTTTCTCATCAAGGAAGGGTGACCCAAAAAAGCAGGAACACTTTCATCATCACTCACTCTTGTCACTGTCTAGCCAGAGATGAACCTGTTCTACAGTTCAGAAACTGCAACATATCAACACCCCTCCTTCAGAGCACAGGCACTGTACTTCTCACCTCCAGGACTCAAGTCCTGCTAACCAGTTGCCCTGAATCCCTTCATAAATGTTACATTGTCCACATTGCAACAGCACGTCAAGTCATAAAAGCCATTTGCCTCAACTCTCTCCTATCTAACATGCTCATGCATGCTTGCTGGAAGTCTAAGCCCTCTGCACACAAAACTTCCTTTACCTCCTCCCTATAACCTTTCCTAGAACAATCCTTACCCCTTTCTTCCTTCCACTACAGATTTATACTCCTTCCAAGTTTCTATTTCATTCCATCTTTTCTAAATGTCCAAACCACCTCAACAACCCCTCCTCATCCCTCTGGTTAATATTTTTAGAAACCCAACACCTCCTAATCTCCAAGCTACAGATTCTCTGCATAATATTCACACTACACTTTGCCTCCAGCCTTCTCCTTGTTTCAGCATTCACAACCCATTCTTCACACCCATATAAGAGTGTTGGTACCACTATACTCTTATACATAACCCTTTTTGCTTCCATGGATAGCATTCTTTGCCTCCACAGACTCCTCAGTTCACCACATACCTTTTTTGCCCTCATCAAGCATGCGATTCACCTCGTCTTTCATGGACCCATCTCTGACAAGCCCACTCTTAAATATTTGAGTACATTCACTTCCTTCATACTCTATCCCTCCAATCTGATATCCATTGTTTCATTACCTAGATTTTTTATAAGCTTCATCACCTTGCTCTTTCCTATGTTCACTTTTAATTTCCTTCTTTTGAATACCCTTCTCTTCAGAATCTCCCAGAAGCACAGTGTCATCAGTAAAAAGCAACGATGACAACTCCCACTGTGTGTTAGATTATTTATCTCTTAATCCCACATCTCTTGCCAACACCTGAGCATTTACTTCTCTTACAACCCCACTTATAAATATACTAAACAACTATGGCGATATCACACGTCCTTGTCTAAGGCCTACTTTTACTGGGAAATAATCTCCCTCTCTCCTACGTACTCTAACCTGTGCCTCACTATCCTTGTAAAAACTCTTAACTACTTTCAGTTCCCTACTGCCTATTCCATACATTTGCCACATCTGCCACATTGCTCTCCTATCTACCCTGTCATATGCCTTTTCCAGATCCATAAATGCAACTAAAACCTCTTTACACTTATCTAAATACTGTTCACCTATATGTTTCACTGTATACACTTGGTCCACACACCCTTCCTAAAGCCTCCTTGTTCATCTGCTGTCCTACTGTCCCTCTTACTCTTAATTCTTTCAGTAGTAACTCTTCCATACACCTTACCAGGTATATTCAACAGGCTTATTTCCCTATAATATTTACACTCTTTTGTCCCCCTCTGCCTTTATACAAAGGAACTATTCATGCTCTGTGTTGCTTTATATTTCACTTATTTTTTCCACAATCAATGATGCAAGTTTTACATCCCCTCAAGGGAACTTCCTTCATGCCAGTGAGGGGCTCTTGATCTGAGGAACTGGACCTTGGATTAAACCTAAATGCCTTCCATTCACCTAGGTACTGTATGACCTCTATGGGTATAGTGCTCCCCCCTAAATATAATAATAATGTAGCTTTTTCAACACAGTTTTACATTATAGTATACAGTATTAGAAGACAGAGGATGAAGCTTCCACCATATCTTGCACTGAATGACCCACATGGGTTTAGCGCTGAACATGAATTACTTTTTATACAGCACTATATTGTTTGTCTATACTCTAGTTCTAAAGCATCTTGTAAATTACTAGTACACAACATTTTACTAGAAATGACTAAGAATTTACAACTTTATCTGTTATATTGAAAAGTAGTGTCAGTGTATCATGTTAATAAGGCATTTTTATTTCCCAGCACTGTCTGCAGTTATGAGGGATCATATTTGTGAAGTGATGAGCAGTGGCAGTGAGTGGAACTGAGTCACAAAGATGAGAAGCCACATTCATGGTGTGAGGAGCGGGCAGTCAATGGTGGCCTTGCTCACAACTCTCTCTCCTCTGGCTGTCTCTCTCTTACTGTGGGTGTCACAGTCTGTGGCACAGGAAAACATCAGTAATGCTATCAATAATAACAGCAGTGCCACCACTGTAAGCTTGGGCCAGAGAGATAATGCAAGTGTTAATAATAGTGATGTTAAACCTGTAATATATGTTGATAACCCACAACACTTGAGGGAATTGCAGGAGCAGAGCTTTCTCCGCCATTCTTTAAGGTATGGTCATGTTTGGTATTTGTCATATAGAGTATTTGGTTACAACATTTTTTCTGTTTTGCCATCTATGTCAATTGCTTAAACAGATATTTGATTTACAAGAAAATCTTTACTTGTTATCTTCTAATACACAAATAACTTGCACATGGGAAACGCAAACTTATGATGACGTTTTGGTTTGACTCGGTCAAAGACCGAAATATTGTCATAAGTTTCAGTCTCTTATGTATGAGTTATTTATGTATTGTTCCAGTAATGGTATTGTGAATTTTTATTCTTTTCCTCTAATGTCTGCTGCTTCTCTGTCATGCACTGTTGAAACATCCACATAGGTTTAAGGTTCTCCTTAATATAATAATAAACACCAAATTATGGTATAATGCCTAACAAGCTCTTTTCAAATGATGCTGGTGAGGGGCTCTCCATTCAAGGAATTAAAGCTATCCTTCCCTTCCTTGGATCAGTCCAGTGATCCTCCCATTCCTCATGCATTGTATTAGTCTCTCTAGATTTAGTACTACCCCATGAATATAAAATTATTAATAATGCAGGACAAGTCTTCAATAGCTAATGCCTTTTTTGTCTGTGAGAATTAGGAGTACCATAACAATGACATTATTAGATGTTATAAAAGGATGAGAGTTGGACATATTTAGCAAATGTTCATATGTATATATTTTCACAGATTATCACCAGGAAGAAGCACTGATGGAAAGGATGGTAATGTTCTTGGTGTGTCATTGCTGGAGCAGGCAGCCACTCTTGGATCACAGCTCAGGCATATAGCTAATAATGAGTTGGGAGTTACACATATGCAGGTGAGAAATGAGATTGTACATACTTGTTCTTGTTCTTGTCCAGACCAGAGCTTTGGTGAGATGGGTAAGGAAGAAGGATGGGTAAGGATAGAAATTTTGGAAAAGGGTGGGAGGGGGAAGAGAGGTAGGATATAAAAGGTAAGTGGCCCAACCACTTTGGTGTAATTTAAAAAGTGTACGTGAAATGATAAGATATTCTTTAAGGGGTATAAGACTAACCCATCAGAGTCACATAGATATAACAGATATATAAGTACATGACTCTGAATTGGTAGTAATTATACAAGTTGCAATTGCTTTTTTTTTTTTTTTGCGATTGCACAACGGATATTTATGCGACAATGAAGGCAATAATTTTCTGGCCAGTTTATAGAATTACGTGACAATGGCTTCTTACAGGTGGTGTCCAGCCATAGTAAATAGCATAATTTTTACATTAGATTGTTATATAAGATTTCTCCCTAATTGGGGGCGATGATGTTCTCAGTATACATAGAAGGGTTCTGGTGTTACCCAATCTTCTTCATCAGGGAGGTTGCTCAATATCATGGGTCGATAGTAATCATCTTTATGTATAAAACGACGGACCCTCTGTGGGAGAGTCATTCTTTGAGTCCTGTGAGGAGGAGTATTGATGATATAATCTGTGGTATTTACCACTTGTATAGGATGTTCTCTATCTGGCATGTATAGTTCTTGCATTGTATAGAGTTGTTTCTTTTTTAAGGTGTCAAGGCGTACATTTATGGCAGTAATATCTTGTTGTATGTGTAAATCTGCCATTTTAACTCTGTCTCTCCTCCTGGTATCGGTAATGAAGCGAAGAGCTCTATTCTGGACCCTTTGTAACCGTAGCATATTGGTCTTTGTTGTTAATGACATTGGGACACAAGGGTATTCGAATATAGGTCGTATTAACATTTTATACAGATGTTTTTTGACATGTTGAGGGGCTTGATTGAATCGAAAGAGACTGCTAAGACCGGCTTTGGCTATGTTGATCTTTTTAGTTACATGAGATGTTGAGTGGAGCAGCCTGTCTATTTCATATCCCAAAATCTTGTTAGGGTTTCTAATGGCTACAGGTGTACCTCTGATGGAGATACCCCCTTTATCTTCAATTGTTGATGCAAAACATCCTATCGTGCTAACAAGGACCTTGTCAGGATTAGTCATAATTCTCCATTTCTTTTCCCAGTTAGATGTTCGACGAAGTTCAATATTAATTTTTTCTATGACTCTCTCATACTTGTATTTTCTTGTTACCGGAGTTGATGAGACAACATGAATAACATCATCTGCAAACTGTGTCACAATTGTATCATTAAACTCTGGTTGAGGAAGGTCATTCACATAAATGTTGAACAGAAGTGGACTGAGACAAGAACCTTGTGGGACACCAGCTGTCGGTATAAAAGGCTCTGTCGACCTGCCATGAAAGGTGGGAATGATTTTTCTTTGAGTTAAGAAATTATATATTACTCTGAGAAAAGTCCAGTTATGGCCTGGTAGGTCAATGAGTTTGTATATAAGGCCATCATGCCATAAGCTATCAAAAGCTTTATGAACATCTCTGGTGGCAGTTAAGGCAAGATTGCCCTGATGTTTTAGACTTGCTACAGTATCGAAAATAACATTTATTGCATGATTGGTACCTCTATGGGTTCTAAAGCCAAATTGTTTTTCAGTAAAAAAGTGATTAAACTCCATATAGTAGTTCAGTCTGTTGGAAATGACCTTCTCAAGAACTTTTCCAGTGACTTCAAGTAAAGATATAGGTCTATAGTTCCCAGGTTGGTGGATGTCTTTATTGGGCTTACCAAGAAAGATCATCCTAGCAGTCTTAAAAACCACTGGAAAATGTCCCGAGGCCAGGATGGCATTAAAGATATTTACCAAAGACTGTTTACAATTTCTGGGTAGGAACTTTATTTGTTTCATTGTTATTCCAGAGAGGCCAGGGGCTCTATTTCGCATTCTTCCAATAACCTGACTCATCTCTAGTAATGTAATAGATCTAGTAAGCGGGTGGGTATCTTCAAAAGTTGAAGTATCGATGGAAGGTAGTGGTTGTAGATCATCCAAGTTCTCATCTCTCCATTCATTTACCAACTGATAATGATTATTATTAAATTGATGACTGTTATTGTGGGAGAGAATTTTCTCCCATACATCACCCATCAAATTAGCCTGGTCCTGTGGATCGTCAAGTTTGTACATACTATGTTTCCTTCCTTGGGTCACTCTGCATTGGTGGAGATGGCCATTGAGGTAAAAACAGTAAAATTAATGGAGACACAACACCATGATGACAGCTCTGCTCCTGTTCCTACAAATAGAGAATTACAGCCTGTAGTTGTGCTTTTACTCCTAAATAAACAGTTTAATATGAATATAATTTTTTTTTGTTAATAAGTTCCTTTATTACCGAACTGTTCATTCTTCTACTTCCAGATGACTGTATAAAGTATTTATAGAGTTTACTTGTTAGAGAATATAATCTGTTATTAGGCATATAATTTGTCATTAATTATTTATATGGCTTTAAGTTATTATTGTTGTTTCAGTTATTGAGATATTTTGTTTAGTGTATATAGATGACAAATTAAGAAAATACCAATAGAGTATACACATTTAAATACAGTATCTGAACTCCCAGAATGGTTCATCAGTATTTTCTCTATTGTCTCCTTTCTAAATTTCTGAGGTAATCTGTGCATATTTTGTAGCTTGCTTATAAAATGGATAAGTTTCACTAGATTACCGAGTAAGAAACCCCAAGCATATCCTACTTGCAGGCTACCTTCGATGAGCTGCCATACTCAGATCTAGAGAGGAGAGAAGAAGACACTGTTAAAGAGGTGAGAAAAGCCATTAATTATGTTGAGGTGTTTCTTGTGTTACTTTTCTAATGTGTCAGACTTTGTAGTCAGAGACTGTTCAACTGCCTCCCAGCATACATAAGGGGGATTACCAACAGACCCCTGGCAGTCTTCAAGCTGGCACTGGACAAGCACCTAAAGTCGGTACCTGACCAGCCAGGCTGTGGCTCGTACGTTGGATTGCGCGCCGCCAGCAGTAACAGCCTGGTTGATCAGGCTCTGATCCACCAGGAGGCCTGGTCACAGACCGGGCCGCGGGGGCGTTGACCCCCGGAACTCTCTCCAGGTAAACTCCAGGTAACTCCAGAGAAAACTCTACATTTTCTTTTATTCATATTTTTCCTTATATATTTTCAGTGCAGTGAAACCTTGCTCAAACAGACTAATATGGTGAGTAGGTCACTGGTAAAGGTGATTGTGGTGGATAGCGATGTGATTGTTTTGCTGTGATTGTAAAAAATTTGGAGAATTCTATAACCATCATACTTTGTCCATTGTTTCCACATCAGTTGATTCATCAGATTTTGTCCTGTATTTCCAAAGTCTGTTAAATCTAGGACTGTTAACTCAGTGGTTTACTGAATGTACATTTATTACTTTTCAAAAATCACATTTAAGTACTTGGCAACCTAACAACACTAAGCATTTATTAAAGAATTCGTCCCACACTCTAATTTTTGTTTGAATTGTAACATTTAGCATCTGCATCTTTTTCTGAAATACTACCAGAAAGATAACTTCATTATTGTCCAAATTTCTAGATTAAAAACTGGACAGATAGTTATTCACAAATCACAGAACAGGTGGTGCTCAAACCCAGAAATGAAAAACAAAGGTATCTCTTTTTGACTTTAGTAAAGTATACAGGAGAAGGGGTTACTAGCCCCTTGCTCCAGGCACTTTAGTCGCCTCTTATAACACACATGGCTTATGGAGGATGAATTCTGTTCTGCTTCTCCATGGAGATACGTAATAGGAAGTGAACAAGAACAAAAACTAGTGAGGAAATAGAAGAAAACCCAGAGGGATGTGTATACATATGCTTGTACATGCAAGTGTAGTGTGACCTAAGTGCAAGTTGAGGTAGCAAGACGTATCTGAAATCTTGCATAGTTCTTCTTCTTTCAACAAACTGGCCATATCCCACAGAGGCAGGGTGGCTCAAAAAAGAAAAACGAAAGTTTCTCTTTTTAAATTTAGTAATTTATACAGGAGAAGGGGTTACTAGCCCCTTGCTCTCGGCATTTTAGTTGCCTCTTACAACACGCATGGCTTACGGAGGATGAATTCTGTTCCACTTCCCCATGGAGATAATAAGAAGTAAACAAGAACAAGAACTAGTAAGAAAATAGGAGAAAACCCTGAGGGATGTGTATATATATATATGCTTGTACATGCAAGTGTAGCGTGACCTAAGTGCAAGTAGAAGTAGCAAGATGTACCTGAAATCTTGCATAGTTCTTCTTCTTTCAACACACAGGCCGCATCCCACCAAGGCAGGGTGGTCCAAAAGGAAAAACGAAAGTTTCTCCTTTTACATTTAGTAATATATACAGGAGAAGAGGTTACTAGCCCCTCGCTCCCGGCATTTTAGTCGCCTCTTACAACACACATGGCTTACGGAGGAAGAATTCTATTCCACTTCCCCATGGAGATAAGAGGAAATAAACAAGAATAAGAACTAGAAAGAAAATAGAAGAAAACCCAGAGGGGTGTATATATATGTATGCTTGCACATGTATGTGTAGTGTGACCTAAGTGTGAGTAGAAGTAGCAAGACATTCCTGAAACCTTGCATGTTTATGAGACAGAAAAATGGACACCAGCAATCCTACCATCATGTAAAACAATTACAGGTTTCCATTTTACACTCGCTTGGGAGGACGGTAGAACCTCCCTGGGCGGTTTCTGTCTATCAACCTACTACTTAAAATAAATAAATATATTCTTTCTTTCAACACACCGGCCGTATCCCACCGAGGCGGGGTGGCCCAAAAGGAAAAACGAAAGTTTCTCCTTTTACATTTAGTAATATATACAGGAGAAGAGGTTACTAGCCCCTTGCTCCCGGCATTTTAGTCGCCTCTTACAACACGCATGGCTTACGGAGGAAGAATTCTGTTCCACTTCCCCATGGAGGATATATATATATTATATATATATATATATATATATATATATATATATATATATATATATATATATATATATAATTTTTTTTTTTTTTTTTTTTTTTTTTTTTTTCAACAAGTCGGCCATCTCCCACCGAGGCAGGGTGACCCAAAAAAGAAAGAAAATCCCCAAAAAGAAAATACTTTCATCATCATTCAACACTTTCACCACACTCGCACATTATCACTGTTTTTGCAGAGGTGCTCAGAATACAACAGTCTAGAAGCATACACATATAAAGATACACAACATATCCCTATATATATATATTTATTTTCTTTCTTTCAACTCACCAGCCATATCCCACCGAGATAGGGTGGCCCAAAAGAAAAAACTAAAGTTTCTCCTTTTATATTTAGTAATATATACAGGAGAAGGGGTTACTAGCCCCTTGCTCCCGGCATTTTAGTCGCCTCTTACGACACGCATGGCTTACAGAGGAAGAATTCTGTTCCACTTCCCCATGGAGATAAGAGGAAATAAACAAGAACAAGAATTAGAAAGAAAATAGAAGAAAACCCAGAGGGGTGTGTATATATATGCTTGTACACGTATGTGTAGTGTGACCTAAGTGTAAGTAGAAGTAGCAAGACATTCCTGAAACCTTGCATGTTTATGAGACAGAAAAATGGACACCAGCAATCCTACCATCATGTAAAACAATTACAGGTTTCCATTTTACACTCACTTGGGAGGACGGTAGAACCTCCCTGGGCGGTTTCTGTCTATCAACCTACTACCTAAAATATTATATATATATATATATATAATAATATATAATATTATATATATATATATATATATATATATATATATTATTATATATATATATATATATACACTATATACACATATGCACATACATAATATATATACACATACATACATATATATTACACATACATACGGTGGACCCCCCGCTTTACGATCAGCTCCCAATGCGACCAATTATGTAAGTGTATTATCTAAGTGTGGTTTGTATGTGTATGTTTGGGGGTCTGAAATGGACTAATCTAATTCACAATATTCCTTATGGGAACAAATTCGGTCAGTACTGGCACCTGAACATACTTCTGGAATGAAATAATATCGTAAACCCGGGGGGGGGGTCCACTATATATATATATTATATATATATATATATATATATATATATAATATAAATATATATATATATATATATATATAATATATATAATTATATATAATATATATATATATATATATATATATATATATATATATATATTATATAATATATATATATATATTATATATATATATATATAATATATATATATATAAATATATTATATATATATATAATAATATATATATATATAATATATATATACAGTATACCTGGAGTATAACCTAGAGATTGTTCTGGGGGTCAGCGCCTCCGTGGCTCGGTCTGTGACCAGGCCTCATGGTGGATCAAGGCCTGATCAAACAGGCTGTTACTGTTGGCCACTCGCAAACCGACGTACAAACCACATGTTGGCCGTCTCCCACCGAGGCAGGGTGACCCAAAAAAGACAAACACTTTCACTGTCATTCAACACTTTCACCATCATTCACACATAATCACTGTCTCTGCAGGGGTTCCCAGATAGAACAGTTTAGATATCACACCAAACAATATATATATTTTTTATTTATTCAGTTGATACAAATATATTGATGTTTCAGTTATGGTGAAGCTTTGGTAGGAAACTAGAACACAGCATAGTGTTTCAACTGCATTTATGCTAAAAGTAATACTTGGCAGTTTTATTTTTTGGTTTGTCATTGCTTCAAAAAGTTTTATTTATTTTTTTCTCAAGAAACCGACCATATCCCACCAAGGCAGGGTGGCCCAAAACAAAAAACGAAAGTTTCTCTTTTTAAATTTAGTAATTTATACAAGAGAAGGGGTTACTAGCCCCTTGCCCTCGGCATTTTAGTCGCCTCTCACAACACGCATGCCTTATGGAGGAAGAATTCTGTTCCACTTCCCCATGGAGATAAGAGGAAATAAACAAGAACAAGGACTAGAAAGAAAATAGCACAAAACCCAGGGGGGTGTGTATACATATGCTTGTACATGTATGTGTAGTGTGACCTAAGTGTAAGTAGAAGTAGCAAGACATACCTGAAATCTTGCATGTTTATGAGACAGAAAAAAGGACACCAGCAATCCTTTTTTTCTTTCTTCTTTCAACAAACCGGCTGTATCCCACCAAGGCAGGGTGGCCCAAAAAGAAAAATGAAAGTTTCTCTTTTTAAATTTAGTAATTTGTACTGGAGAAGGGATTACTAGCCTCTTGCTCCCGGCATTTTAGTCGCCTCTTACAAGATGCATGGCTTATGGAGGAAGAATTCTGTTCTATTTCCCAATGGAGATAAGAGGAAATAAACAAGAACAAGAACTAACAAGAAAATAGAAGAAAACCCAGAGGGGTGTGTATATATATGCTTGTACATGTATGTGTAGTGTGATCTAAGTGTAAGTAGAAGTAGCAAGACGCACCAGAAATCTTGCATGTTTATGAGTCAGAAAAAAGGATACCAGTAATCCTACCATCATGCAAAACAATTACAGGCTTTCGTTTTACACTCACTTGGCAGGATGATAGTACCTCCCTGGGCGGTTGCTGTTTACCAACCTTCTACCTAATGGTATCTTATATTGTACCAATAAGTGTGAGAAAAGACAAATAATTTTTTTTTTTTTTTTTTATTATCACACTGGTCGATTCCCACCAAGGCAGGGTGGCCCGAAAAAGAAAAACTTTCACCATCATTCACTCCATCACTGTCTTGCCAGAAGGGTGCTTTACACTACAGTTTAAACTGCAACATTAACACTCCTCCTTCAGAGTGCAGGCACTGTACTTTCCATCTCCAGGACTCAAGTCCGGCCTACTGGTTTCCCTGAACCCCTTCATAAATGTTACTTTGCTCACACTCCAACAGCACGTCAAGTATTAAAAACCATTTGACTCCATTCACTCCTATCAAACACCCTCACGCATGCCTGCTGGAAGTCCAAGCCCCTCGCACACAAAACCTCCTTTACCCCCTCCCTCCAACCTTTCCTAGGCCGACCCCTACCCCGCCTTCCTTCCACTACAGACTGATACACTCTTGAAGTCATTCTGTTTCGCTCCATTCTCTCTACATGTCCGAACCACCTCAACAACCCTTCCTCAGCCTTTGGACAACAGTTTTGGTAATCTCGCACCTCCTCCTAACTTCCAAACTATGAATTCTCTGCATTATATTCACACCACACATTGCCTCAGACATGACATCTCCACTGCCTCCAGCCTTCTCCTCGCTGCAACATTCATCACCCATGCTTCACACCCATATAAGAGCGTTGGTAAAACTATACTCTCATATATTCCCCTCTTTGCCTCCAAGGACAAAGTTCTTTGTCTCCACAGACTCCTAATGCACCACTCACCCTTTTCCCCTCATCAATTCTATGATTCACCTCATCTTTCATAGACCCATCCGCTGACACGTCCACTCCCAAATATCTGAATACATTCACCTCCTCCATACTCTCTTCCTCCATCTGATATCCAATCTTTCATCACCTAATCTTTTGTTATCCTCATAACCTTACTCTTTCCTGTATTCACTTTTAATTTTCTTCTTTTGCACACCCTACCAAATTCATCCACCAATCTCTGCAACTTTCCTTCAGAATCTTCCAAGAGCACCGTGTCATCAGCAAAGAGCAACTGTGACAACTCCCACTTTATGTGTGATTCTTTATCTTTTAACTCCACGCCTCTTGCCAAGACCCTCGCATTTACTTCTCTTAGAACCCCATCTATAATATATTAAACAACCACGGTGACATCACACATCCTTGTCTAAGGCCTACTTTTACTGGGAAATAATTTCCCTAATATATCCTAATATGCTAATATATTTATTGATGAGATATTTTGTTCAGGGGTGGCACAACATCTTGATAAATATCTCAGTATGATATATGTGTCGTTTTTCACATAAAAATATTGTCTTTTCAGATGATACAGTCACTGGAGCGGAAGTTTACCGTATTCTCTAGTCTAATAGAAGAAATGTCCAAGCTTGTGGCTAATTTTTATAGTGAGCACAGAGAAAGGGAACTGGAAGATGTAATGCATTATGCAGATGAACACAAGTATCACCCCTGTTGCCTCATCCCTGACAATTACCTTGAGCAAGTATCTTGTTTTTGTTGTGTATTTTTATTTCTTAGTGGAAAACAGAGTTTGAGAGTTTTATAACCCAGTCACTACAAGAGGCTTAATTATACCCAAGGTTACATATACACTATAATGTGCCAAAAGCATTATAAATGCTAACTGATTACCCTGAATCTCTTCATAAATGTTGCTTTGCACATTCTAACAGCACATCTGGCCATGATTGTTTTACATTATAATGACAGTACACCTTTAAAGTAATACATACTCTAGTCAATTCCCAACTCATAAGTATTCTCCCAAACAAGTGGTGTACATATTTTGAAAGTGTCTAGATGTATACATATCTAGCCATAGTTAATATAAATAATGGACGAGCATAGTGAAAGGATTAAGTGGAAGCTAAGCTGGCAAGTAGAATTTAGCCTTAGTCATGAAAGCATGAAAATAGTTATTGAATGAATTCTTGTGAGGGTTGTAATTATTGCATCTTATGGATGTGGTCATCAGTATGGTAGAGAAGAATGTGGTCATCAGTATGGTGGAGAAGAATGTGGTCATCAGTATGGTGGAGAAGAATGTGGTCATCAGTATGGTGGAGAAGAATGTGGTCATCAGTATGGTGGAGAAGAATGTGGTCATCAGTATGGTGGAGAAGAATGTGGTCATCAGTATGGTGGAGAAGAATGTGGTCATCACTATGGTGGAGAAGAATGTGGTCATCAGTATGGTAGAGAAGAATGTGGTCATCAGTATGGTGGAGAAGAATGTGGTCATCAGTATGGTAGAGAAGAATGTGGTCATCAGTATGGTGGAGAAGAATGTGGTCATCAGTATGGTGGAGAAAAATGTGGTCATCAGTATGGTAGAGAAGAATGTGGTCATCAGTATGGTGGAAAAGAATGTGGTCATCAGTATGATGGAGAAGAATGTAGTCATCGGTATGGTAGAGAAGAATGTGGTCATCAGTATGGTGGAGAGGAATAAGAGTTGTAAATAGTATTGTATCTTGTAAACGGGGTTAAAAAATATGCCTTTATTAATACGACATTTCACCTACATGAGGCCTTATCAAGTCTACTAAAGCCTTGCATAAGTGAGACCTTGTACTTAGATTACATTTTTTTTGTATACCTGCCTTTTGATGGTGCTTATATAAGTGTACTCTATCATAGCAATTGTTGGAATGTAAACCAAGGCTACAATCAAATTTAGAGAGGGAATCAACCACTTTAAGATGTGTGTTACTTGACTCACATTGAATAACCATTATAAAGAAATTTTATGGAAATAAATATTTCTGATAATTCTACTTTTACATTATTATTTTTGAAGTTTTTATTATTTTTCATTGGTCTCATTAAAAATAAAATTTACATAATGAAATATTTTGTTGGTTTTTAGCATTTGGATGTTTAACGGGGCCGTGTTGTTAATTTTTGGATTTTCAAGGTACATCCACTTTCCTGGGGCTTTTGGGTCCTAATAACATTAAAAGGTAGTATTTAAAAATTTTTCTTTCATCATTCTCAAATTTAGGGTTGAAAAAAATTCTTGGGAAAAAATAAAGGGAAATTTATGTAAAAAAACAAATAATAAAGGGAAATTTTATTTTCCTGCCTTTGGTTCATTCGGGCCCTTTTGGTGGAAAAAAATTTTGTTTTTGCCTTAACAATTGTACAAAAAATTGGGTATTTTGTTAATGAAAATAAAAGTTACAAAAAGTGAACATTGGTTTTGGGTTTGTAATAAAATGGGGGGTGGAAAAACCCTTGTATGGAAACAAATTGGGAAAGGGGATTTTTAATTTAAAATTTCATTTTATTTAAAAAGACCACTTTCAGAAAAAACTTTTAAAATTTTTTCACCAGTTGGGTTGGACCCAAAATTAATAAAAGGTTTTCTTTGTTGAGAGTCTTTTTACCACCACCTGTCGACTCATAGTCATTCACTTGCACAATGTCAGTAGAAATCTTCCCTCTCATTTTATGTGGATTTATGTTGTTGAATTAGACACATGTGCAATTCTTGGGTATCTTTACTGAGGAAACGTTTCGCCACACAGTGGCTTCATCAGTCCATACAAAGGAGAAACTTGAAGAACTGGAGGAGAAAGAGGTAATCAGTCCCTCAGCCTTGAGTCAATGTGGTCAGTCCATCAATCTTGAATAGAATACGGCATATGAGCGGAGAAGCAGCTTATAAACCGTAGACAGGTGAGGGGCAGCAGTCGTAGGTGGTGTCACATTTGTCCAGTGTGGAAGTAGGTCGTGCCCAAGGGTTAGGCAAGTGAAGAATTCCCAAGTATTAAGATCCCAAGAAGTTGCAGTGTCTTACAGGATTGCAGATGAATGGTTCAGAGAACCGACATGTCGGTTCTCTGAACCATTCATCTGCAATCCTATGTGGATTTAGTTGACAAATTTGCTATTATACAATATCCCATGTCCATTGGTCATTTTGTATGTCCAATTGCAGTTTGCAAACTGCAATGAAGGTTCCTATTATGCTGAAGTAAATATTGATTGTCAGATTAATCTTAGTACAGCTCTCCAGAACACATCTGTTGCATAAAGTCAAGTAAAGGACCTATACAAGGTGTACAGAAGAACAGTACTATCACTTGTCAAGACATTGACTTATGCATGAAAAGGAAAGATTTCTCTTGCCTTTGTTCTTAATAAGTTATTGGAAAATTTAGTGCTAGGGCTTTATGTGTGTAATAATATGAACTATTGTTACTTTCAGTGTTTATTATGAATTTACGAAGATATCCCACCATTAAGTGGCAGTATTTCATGTCAGTAAATGGTCTGCACACTGAGTACCCTGCACATAGACCAGGTATGTTTGTCATCATAGTTTGTAGAACAAATTACAGCAGTTTGAATAAGACACAGTAGGCTGTTTAGGGGTATTTAACTGATAAAAATGTTTCATCTGTCAGGGACTTTATTAAAATTTTGAGGAGGATTAATAAAGTCCTCTGGTGGAGGAAATGCATTCTCAATAAAATGCCATTAACCACATATTGTGTCTTATTAAAAAATACTTGTTGGTGTATTTAAAACCATGCATATAGATTAAATAAAATTAACATTTATTTGCTTTAAATATGACTCTAATATTTATACATTTTTTTTGTTGCAATTATTGCCATTTGTAAAATAATTGATTGTATTTATTAAATTTGCTTTTCATTTAGGAACAAGTATTGGTGCAGACTGTGGCCAGTCTTCCCGTCACCGTCATGTCTATGAAGCTACGGTGAGATCCAGTGGTTGGAACATTGTTCTTCTCTATGATCTGGGAGAATCTCTTACACCAAGGCTTCTCTTGACAGCTAAAGCTATTGGTAAGTTCTCCATGCTGCTTTGAATATGTAGAACCTTAGCATTTGAACTGTACTATTGGCACGCCTCTGGTAAGGCAGTGATGGAGTGAGTGATGATGCATGTGTTTCTTCTTTTTCAGGTCATCTTGTCTCGGTGGGAAATAGCTGATGTGTTGTAAAAAATCTAAACTATTTAATTTTCTTTATGAGCATCTGTAATTTATGCTTTAAAGTTGAAATTGTTGAGGTTTACTCTTCTTATTTGTATCATAAATGTATTATTGCATTCAGTTTGTGTTATAATTCCCATAAGTTAATTCACTGTGTTCTGTAAATTTACTTCTATCAAAATAAACTAAATAGGGACTAACAATCTATCTTGTTAATGTCAAATTCATTAATAATTACTTTATTAATCAACTTCATCTACATAACAAAAATTTTCTGTTACCCAAAATTTCGACACATTGTCTTTATACACTTAATATTTTTTTTTTTTTTCAACTAGTCAGCCGTCTCCCACCGAGGCAGGGTGACCCAAAAAAGAAAGAAAATCCCCAAAAAGAAAATACTTTCATCATCATTCAACACTTTCACCACACTCCCCACAATTATCACGGGCTTTTGCAGAGGTGCTCAGAATACAACAGTTTAGAAGCTTATACGTATAAAAGATACACAACATATCCCCCCAAAAACTGCCAATATCCCAAACCCCTCCTTTAAAGGGGCAGGCATTGTACTTCCCATTTCCAGGACTCAAGTTCGACTATATGAAAATAACCGGTTTCCCTGAATCCCATCACTAAATATTACCCTGCTCACACTCCAACAGATCGTCAGGCCCCAAGTATCATTCGTCTCCATTCACTCCTATCAACACGCTCATGCACGCTTGCTGGAAGTCCAACCCCCTTTGCCCACGAAACCTCCTTTACCCCCTCTTTCCAAACCCTTTCGAGGATGCCCCCTTTCCCCTCCTTCCTTCCCCTATAGATTTATATGCTTTCCATGTCAATTCTACTTTGATCCATTCTCTCTAAATGCCCAAAACCCACCTCAACAACCCCTCTTCTTCCCCTCTGACTAATACTTTTATTAACTCCACACCCTTTCCTGATTCCACACTCCGAATTTTCTGCATAATTTTTTCACCACACATTGCCCTTAAACAGGACATCTCCACTGCCTCCAACCGTCTCCTCGCTGCTGCATTTACCCCCCAAGCTTCACATCCATAAGATGTTGGGTACTACTATAAATTTCATACATTCCCCTTTTTTGCCTCCATAGATAACGTTTTTTGACCTCCCCATATACCTCAAAAGCACCACTCGCCTTTTTTCCCTCGTCATTTCTATGATTAACCTCAACCCTTTATAAATCCATCCGCCGACATGTCAACTCCCAAGTATCTGAAAACATTCACTTCTTCCATACTCCCCTCCCCAATTTGATATCCAATTTTCTTGATCTAAATCATTTGATACCCTCATCACCTTACTCTTTTCTATGTTCACTTTCAACTTTCTACCTTTACACACATTCTCAAACTCATCCACTAACCTTTGCAATTTTTTCTTTAGAATCTCCCCTAAGCACAGTATCATCAGCAAAGTAAATGTGTCAATTCCCATTTTGAGTTTGATTCCCCATAATTTAAAACCCACCCCTCTCCTGAACACCCTAGCATTTACTTCTTTTACAACCCCATCTATAAATATATTAAACAACCATGGTGACATTACACATCCCTGTCTAAGACCTACTTTTACCGGGAAGTATTCTCCCTCTCTTCTACACACCCTAACCTGAGCCTCACTATCCTCATAAAAGCTCTTTACAGCATTTTGTAACTTACCACCTATCCATATACTTGCAACATCTGCCACATTGCTCCTCTATCCACTCTATCATATGCCTTTTCTACACATCCTCTACCCACTCCGAAGCCTCCCTGCTCATCCGCAATCCTACATTCTGTCTTCCCTCTAATTCTTTCAATTATAACCCTACCGTATGCTTTTCCTGGTATACTCAGTAAACTTATTCCTCTATAATTTTTACAATCTCTTTTGTCCCCTTTCCCTTTATATAAAGGGACTATACATGCTCTCTGCCAGTCCCTAGGTACCTTCCCCTCTTTCATACATTTATTAAACAAGAGTGCCAACCCCTCCACCACTATATCTCCCCCTGCTTTTAACATTTCTGTCATGATCCCATCAGTTCCAGCTGCTTTACCCCCTTTCATTCTACGTAATGCCTCATGTACCTCCACCACACTACATTTCTGCTCTTCTTCACTCCTAAAAGATGGTATAAACCCCCCTGGCCCGTTGCATGAAAAATTACCGCCTCCCTTTCTCCTCAACATTTAAAGTCCTCAAAATATTCTCGCCATCTACCTAATACCTCCCTCTCCCCATTACTAAAATCCCCTACTCTGTTTTTAACTGACAAATCCATACTTTCCTAGGCTTTCTTAACTTGTTTAACTCACTACCAAAATTTTTTCTTATTTTCATTAAAATTTCTTGACAGTGCCTCTCCCACTCTATCATCTGCTCTCCTTTTGCACTCTCTCACCACTCTCTTCACCTTTCTTTTACTCTCCATATACTCTGCTCTTCTTATAACACTTCTGCTTTGTAAAAACCTCTCATAAGCTACCTTTTTCTCTTTTATCACACCCTTTACTTCATCATTCCACCAATCACTCCTCTTTCTCTCCTGCCCCCATCCTCCTATAACCACAAACTTCTGCCCCACATTCTAATACTTCATTTTTAAATCTATTCCAACCCTCTTCAACCCCCCCCCTCCCCACTACTCATCTTTGCACTAGCCCACCTTTCTGCCAATAGTCGCTTATATCTCGCCCGAACCTCCTCCTCCGTTAGTTTATACACTTTCACCTCCCTCTTACTTGTTGTTGCCACCTTCTTTTCCCATCTACCTCTTACTCTGACTGTAGCTACAACTAAATAATGATCCGATATATCAGTTGCCCCTCTATAAACATGTACATCCTGGAGCCTACCCATCAACCTTTTATCCACCAATACATAATCTAACAAACTACTTTCATTACGTGCTACATCATACCTTGTATATTTATTTATCCTCTTTTTCATAAAATATGTATTACTTATTATCAAATTTCTTTCTACACATAGCTCAATTAACATTTACCCCTATCACCCCAAATTTACCTACTACTCCCTCCGTAACATTATTACCCACTTTAGCATTGAAATCCCCAACCACCATTACTCTCACACTTGATTCAAAACTCCCCACGCATTCACTCAACATTTCCCAGAATCTCTCTCTCTCCTCTACACTTCTCTCTTCTCCAGGTGCATACACGCTTACTATAACCCACTTTTCACATCCAATCTTTATTTTACTCCACATAATCCTTGAATTTATGCATTTGTAGTCCCTCTTTTCCTGCCATAGCTTATCCTTCAACATTATTGCTACTCCTTCTTTAGCTCTAACTCTATTTGAAACCCCTGACCTAATCCCATTTATTCCTCTCCTTTGAAACTCTCCCACCCCCTTCAGCTTTGTTTCACTTAAAGCCTGGACATCCAGTTTCTTCTCATTTATAACATCCACAATCATCTCTTTCTTATCATTTGCACAACATCCACGCACATTCAAACTTCCCACTCTGACAATTTTCTTCTTCTTATTCTTTTTAGTAATCTTTACAGGAAAAGGGGTTACTAGCCCATTGTTCCCGGCATTTTAGTTGACTTTTACAACACGCATGGCTTTCGGAGGAAAGATTCTTATTCCACTTCCCCATGGATATAAAAGGAAAAGTAATAAGACCAAGAACTATTAAGATAAAATCAAAGAAAACTCAGATGAGTGTGTATAAATAAATGTGTACATGTATGTGTAGTGTGACCTAAGTGTAAGTAGAAGTAGCAAGACATGTCTGTAATCTTGCATATTTATGAGACAGACAAAAGACACCAGCAATCCTACCATCATGTAAAACAATTACAGCCTTTCGTTTTACACTCACTAGGCAGGACAGTAATACCTCCCTGGGTGGTTGCTGTCTACCAACCTACTACTAATATATACTACTAATATATATACTACTAATATATGTGTATAGTATTTTTTCATATCTCACTGACATTGTTTCATTTTTCATGAATATTATTAATGGGACCATCCCTGTTAAACTTGCCTATATATTCTGGCTTCCCCTCTTCTTGTTTTATTGTAACTTTGTAAATGGTCCATGTTGGACTGAAATATCATCATAAGCTTCTCTCTCCTAAGTGCAGGTTATTTGTGTATTATTATTATTATTATTATTATTATTAATGTTATTAATACGAACTTCCTAAATGTGTAATAGCCATAGTTCTGATGAGTACATTACACATTATTATTGCTATTGTTTTTTTAACACTGTCCATCTCCCACTGAGGTAGGATGACCCAAAAAAAAAAAAGAAACATTTTCACCATCATTCACTCCATCACTGTCTTGTCAGTACTCCTTATATTATATCTCATATACTTATTTATCCTCTTTTTCTTAAAATATATATTTCCTGTTACCAAAGCTCTTTCTATAGAAAGTTCTATCAAAGGCCCCCATGTAAAGCATTTAGAAAATTGTTTAATAAGGGAAGGTTTTATCATAAGGTAGTATTCGCATTTAACATTAAGAAAATACAAAATTTTTTGAAGTGTGTAGAGGATATTAAAAATTAAACTTAAAAGTTTGAGCACTAAAATTTGAATTACTAGAAAAAAATTTTATGTTGTTCTTGCCACAGTCCCCAAAATTATCTCCATTTTGCAACAAAAACAAAAAAGCGTTTGGGGTTGCAAAAAGTATCTTTCACCCCTCTGCATCCTTTTTAAAGGGCTACTTTGTATCGTACACATAGTTAAGGAAAGCATCGGGGAATTTCGGGGACTACAGGGAAAAGAAAATGGAAAGGCAATAATGTTATGTTTTTTAAAAGTAATCTATCTTCA